GGACATCGCCAACGCATTCAATAGTCTGCCATTCAGCTGCATCAGGGAAGCACTCCACTATCATGGGGTGCCAAAGTACCTGAGGCGGCTAGTGGCAGACTATTTAGAGGAGCGTACCGTCGTGTACGAGGACCGAGAAGGTAATTTGAGGTGTCGGCCCATGTCGTGCGGTGTTCCACAGGGGTCTGTTCTTGGACCCCTCTTGTGGAACATAGGGTACGACTGGGCCCTTCGCGCCGATTTCCCCCCCGGGCTGGGTGTAATCTGTTACGCAGACGATACACTGGTGACAGCCCGGGGGGCAAACTTCCAAGAGGCGGCGCGCCTGGCCACAGGGGGAGTCTCCCTGGTGGTCGGGCGCATTGAGGCGCTGGGCTTACGGGTGGCCCTACATAAGACGGAGGCCCTGTTATTTCATGGGCCCCGTCGTGGTCCACCCCCTGGCGCCTCAATCGTGGTCAACTCGGTCCTCGTACCGGTTCGGGCCCAGATGAAATATCTGGGCCTGATCCTCGACGGGAGGTGGCTCTTCGACGAGCACTTCCGACAGCTTGCTCCAAAGCTGGTCGGCGCTGCGTCTGCCCTAGGGCGACTCTTGCCCAATATGGGTGGGCCCAGCGTCGCGACAAGACGGCTGTACACGGGGGTTGTCCGGTCAATGGCGCTGTACGGTGCACCGGTGTGGGCGGCGGCTCTGACCGCCCAGAATAGGGTACGCCTCTGGCGCCCTCAGAGGGTAATGGCGGTCAGAGCCATACGCGGTTACCGCACCGTTTCTACGGAGGTGGCATGCGCGTTGGCCGGAACTCCCCCGTGGGATTTGGAGGCGGAAGTGCTCGCCGAAGTTTATCGGCGAGTGGCTGACTTCCGGGCGGAGAGCGGATTTCGCCCTCCGCCCGAGGATGTGCGCGAGTGGCGCGAAGCCGCTCGCCGAGCCACGATGGCTCGTTGGTCGTTCCGGCTGGAGACTCCACGCGCTGGCTTCGCCGCCGTGGAGGCTCTCCAGCCGGTCATCGCCGAGTGGGCAGGGCGGCAGCACGGGACCCTTTCCTTCCGACTGACGCAGGTGCTTTCCGGGCACGGTTGCTTCGGAAAGTACCTGCACACGGTCGCTAGGAGGGAACTGAGTCCCGCCTGCCACCACTGCGACTGCAGTGAGGACTCGGCCCAGCACACGCTGGCGGTCTGCCCCGCATGGGCGGCGCAGCGCCGGGCCCTCACTGCAGTCATCGGAGTGGATCTCTCGCTACCGGCCGTAGTACGCTCCATGGCCGGTAGCGACAGTTGTTTTACCGCGGTCGCAACCTTCTGCGAGGTAGTAATCTCGCGGAAGGAGGCGGCGGAAAGGGCCCGGGAGGACGACCTCCACTCGGACCCGATCCGCCGCCGGCGAACCGGGCGGCGGAGGCCCGCCTACCACAGCCTCATGCCGCCCTGAGTGTGGCCGCGGGTGGACGGGGTGGGTTTCCCCTCCACCCGCATTAGTTTGGCCAGCCGCGAGGGGGCGGCGTCCGCGTGTGCCGGACGTCGCCTAAAGAGAGGAAAAATATTGAGACGGAGCCCGCACCAGGAGCGGGCTGGCGCTAGGAGGGGTCCGGATGTCTTAACAACAGCTGTTCCCGGATCCCTCCTGTTACAGGCGCAGAGTGGCACACCGTGTGGTTTTAGTCGGTCCGAGTCCGACACACCACCCCGCCGCAAACCCCGGAGGGGTGACGGTCCGAGGGGATTTCCACACGTTAAAAAAAAAAAAAAAAAAAAAAAAAAAAGGCTTTGTTTCAAGTTTTCCTACTTTTTGCAGTGCTGTTGTCCTGCTTAGTTTATTCCCTTCGTCGGCTCTTAGGACACCCACGGTATGAATAGGGGTGGTGACACTCTGTATTTTTAATCCGTCACCACACAGATATTTTTACCCAAAAAAAAGTGAAAAACCAGCTAGTTTTTTTTTTTTTAATTTAAACATTCTCACATTACATGATGTGTAATGAATTTTATTCGGGGTGTCACAGTTCAAAAAACATGTTTTTTAGATTCTGGATGGAATTTAACGAAATCTAGCGGCCCATTAAAGAATAATTGATACTTTTTTATTGCAAAATAACTTTTAAACCCGGTTTTTTTTTCAGTTTTCGCTATATCTCGGCAAGAAAGCATTGTATCGAAAAGTTGAATATAAAAGTTGTTCAGTTGATGAATTTATGTAGGTATTACGTATTTTAAAAGTTGGATATTTTCTTACCGAAAACATGCGGCAAAGTTGTAGAAACCGAAAAACAAAAAGATAATAAAAATGAGGAAAGAATTCGTTTTTCATCGTTGATATTTGTGTATTAATAAGGCATTAGTATCGTTAACAAATGCACCCGGTCTGTTTTTTTATTTAAATGTCACCCAGAATCGAAATAAAAACCTTTGACACCCCGACCATTGCGAATAGGCCCATTTCAAAGAAGAAATAAATGCTCTTAAAACAAAATGATTTTAGGCGATCATCAATCAAATTTAAAAAAAAACAAAGTTCTCTCATGATTCAAACTAAGTGTAGATTAGTGTTTTTTTTACAACCTATGTATACTTTTAGTCATAAAAAGCCTAGACTTCTTTAAGTAATAGACTATAGTAACCACAAAATCGAAAACACAAGGCTCATACCATAATTTCATCAACATCAATAGTATCAACTTCGCCAGAATATACTGTCGACAACGCGAATGCTCCAAACACTTCCCTAGGCAGTGGAGGTAAGTCATTCGCGTACATAGCTTCTCCGGAGGCTTGTATTTCAGCTTCTAACTTATTTATAGGCTGGTTCAAGGGGAACAATGAAGGATGGGTCTGATAGTCTGGCTTCCCCGTAGACACTGGCCGGGAGAGCAAATTTCCACCAGATATGTATTTGTTTAAAGCTGTGCCACTTGGGGCTATGTTGAGAATATACTGTGAATAGAATAATATCATCAGTACATAAGAACGTATTTCATGTTCGTCAATTTGCTTAAAAAGGTTTTACCTTGTAGAACAGGCCTAGTCCCAACTTCTTTCGGCACTCGATTGATTGTTCTCCAGGTAATTCAACAGGTAGCAACTCATCATTCAAAACTTTGATAGCTTCTTGGAGAGTGTGATCACAAAACACGTTCTTTCCGACCAAATACTTTTCTGTATTAGTCGCGTGCACGAATTCAGGATCAATGTTCCCGTACACTATTTTGGCAGACTTGATCTTTTTTTTAGATTCGAATTCAAGTAAAAAGGCAGCGTTAACAATTGCAAGGGCGTTTTGATTTCGTGGCATAATCTGCAATATTTGGCAAGATCTTAATAAGTAATTTAGAAATAAGTTTCACACTTGTTGCTGGCACATCATTGCTTTTTTCTAGTCTTAAACTAATTTCAAATTTTAGATTTTAATTAATTTATCAATGAAAAAGCATGTTTTTGTAAATCACATGATAAGAAGCTGTGTTTTATGTTTAAATGTCGAACAACAATAAAAATCAGAAAAAATAAAATAGTTCCTTAAATAAAAGTTTTCTTGACTGTATTTACCATCTGTATAAACAGTATTTTGTGGCAGTTAACAGCTACATAATAGCGCGTATTAGAACTTATTACATGTGACAGCATTTAGCATATACGTTACTTTATTTTAATGATGATTATACATCACAAGAATAACTAGGGATAGGATTAAACTGTATCAGAATGATGAAATCAAGTTACCTTATAACTCCTCAAAATATGTGAGCTACTCAAGGGCGGCAGTACCACGTTTATCATCAGGTTGCCTGTCATGTCGTAATTCAGAAAGTCTAGCAATTCTAATTTATTTTCCTTTCCATTGACGTTTCCTTTTGAGAAAATCAATTTAATTATGTAGCATACACATAGATTTACTTAATTTAGACGAAGGAGGGGTACAGGGAGGGCGTAAGTCATAAGCTATGTATTTTAAAAATGAGAATATCTGTGACGAATCCGTCTAGCCATTTCAACCGATACGTATATATATACTTTTTCCATAGAAAGTATTGTAGTATAGTCTTTTTAAAGGATGGCAAATCATCTCCATTTATCTCAAATTTTACTCAAACAACGGGCCTGTTGGTCTAGTGGTCGGGTTCGATTCCCATCCAGGACAAATATTGTGTGATGATCACGGTCCAAATGACCGTCTGTGTCTGGGTGTAATTTATCTATAATATGTATGTATTTAAATATATATATAAGTAGGTTTATCAGGTACCAGGTACCAGATACCAGGTTATCAGCAGTCTGGTTACCATAGTACAGGTTCTGCCTAGTTTGGATCAGACGGCCGTGTGTGAGATGTTTGAGATATAATCTGCTTTCGTACATTTCTTATTTTTCATAATTATTCTCTGTGTTAACGGTCGTAATAAAGGTACACAGTTCATTTTGTTCTAAACATATAGGAAAATAGGATGAAGTTTGGTATAGTTTTCTTGAAATAATAACATATAGGTATGTTGTTAACGCATCAATGTCAATGTTGTCGGTGTTATTTGCTTTATTTCCTTTACGTACTTTAAGTGGTATATGATTGCGTTTACATGTCTTATGTCAACTGCTCATATTAACCTTGGTTTTAACAATAGTGTTTATAGTTTAAATTACACTTTGCTTACACGCATATGCTAGTTTATTTTTAATTTTAAATCATATCGTATTGCATCAATTTAAAAGATCTGATGACGACCGGATGGCGTAGTGGTTTGTGTAACGGACTGCTATTCCAAAGGTCGTGGGTTCGATTCCCGCTTAAGTCAAACATTTGTGTGCATGAATATTTAATGTTTGATTTAGTCTAGGTGTTTCTATGTATTATATGTATGTATTTACAAAAAAAAAAAAGTATATATGTATTTATATCAGTTGTCTAGTACCCAGAGTACAAGCTCTGCTTAGTTTGGGACTAGATGGCGTTGTGTGAATGTGGTACAATATTATTATTATATTATTATTATCTGGCAACCCTAAACAGAGCCAAACGAGCAGCTATTTTTAATATTCTCTTTGGTTTGTTCTCAATTGCAATACGTTTACTGGAATACCAAATTGTATTCCGTAAATTACCTTTAATTCTTTACTAAAGGAATGTCATGTTTAAGATAATTATGATAACATCCACACCAATGTCGAATTAAACGAATAAAACAATTACATATCAAAATTAGACTACATTAACACAGGTACCCTTAGAAAACTCTGTTATCATCATCATCATCTGCCTACCCTTATGCCAATTTTATTTGGGGACAGCGCAGTATGTATCACTCTTCCACTCTACTCTATCATTCGCCATTTCACTGTTTACTTCCTTCCTAGCAATCTCTTATGCAATCCATCCACCTTTTCTTTAGTCTTCCTCTTTGTACCCTTCAACTCCCATACCTAACACTTTCTTCGCCACATTTTCTTATCCCTCCGCAAGACATGTCCATACCAGGATAACCAATTATACTTCTTCGCTTTTCATCATGAAAAAACTCTGTCGATAAGTGCTTAACTTATAAATATAACTTACGGACATTGATGTAGGCGCCAACACCCTCAAATAGGAGAAACAGGTCTGACTGGTAGGTTGGTATCGCTCGCTTATACATCAGATTACCAGCTATTGAACCAATCTGTAACCAACAAATAACTCACACATCTCTTTCTCTTATTTTTCTCAAACTAGGTTGGGGTCGGCTTTTAGTCAACTACGACACGGCTGAACTTCGATTTTTTTACCCGTAGAAGGACTGTTGTCGCACTTTTTTGAGCTCTAACTATCTTGCCACAGATTTTCTTATTTCAACTGGGAAAGACGGCTTAACGTCAGGGAGGGGTCACAATGTGTTAAGAATGGTCACCCATTCGTAGACTGACCTTGCTAAGATTGCTGAACTTTGCAATGTGCTCTCGGGTACCACTTAGCCACGAGCCCTTTAAACAACTTAACTACCGACCGAAATAAATAAAAGGACTCGTATAACCGACTTCAATGGACCTACATCATGTCGAATTGTATTAAACTGTATTCTTTATACCCTAATTTTAAAGCTCTAGATGTGGCATTCTTCTTCAAACTAAAACGCAAAGCATACCCTCAGAAACAAAACAAGAATTTTAAAAATCGATTTATAAATGACGAATTTCTGCGTTAACAAACATATAAAAAAATTTACACCAGAATTGTGTACCTCCTCCTTTTGAAGCCGGTTAAAAACTAATGACATCTTAGCTCTATCGACAGGCTTTTGCAAATAGGTGTTGAATTCAGTAGCTTATGTCGCACACATGTATGCTGTAAGAAATTTCATTTTTTTTCCACTGAAGCATACCTGTCAATCAAAACAGTACTTCGTATTCCTCAAAGTTCCTATAAACTCGTAACTATGTCATATTGTATCACACATTTTCTGGTGAACTTCACTTTAACGCATAATCTTGTATTTAAACTCTGACTCACCTTTCTAACAGGGGCATTAGCAATCAGTTCTACATGCTTAACAAACTCTGACAAGTAGGCAAACTCGGTCCGTGTCTCAGAAACTTCCTTAAAAATGTTTATAGCATCCTCCAGAGATACATTTGCCCCCAGCACCAAGTTCTGATCAAGGTACCAGCCTTTGAGAGATTTGACACCACTAATGTCGATGAGAACTCGAGGATATTCAAAATGGTCAATGATACCTAAAAAAAATGAACATTAATTACCCCGCGGCATCTCCCCTCGCGAAGACATAAATAATTATTACTTGACTCTCCATATGGTAAGACTTCGTACTTGATAGGTAATGCTACATTACCCAGTTGTCATTGTTAAGTCGGTTAAGAAGTAAGTTATATCTGTTTCGGGAACACAATGTAATACGCATCCTCCTTAATCAAAATAGTTAGGCGCCAGCACTAGAAAGTTTCACATATCGTCGCCTTCAGAGGTTTAAGTTTCGATGTGTCGCGCTACCGACAGACGTCGCAGACGAGGTCGGGCTACATCGCGCGCAATATCGCTTGTTTTGTGCGGGGCGACAAGACAGCTAGACAAATATTCTCTGGCAAAAAAGGGTTTTAGCGGTTATATTTTCATAAGCATTTTTCCCGAAATTTAGTTAGGATATATTCAACTGTTGGTAAAAATAAAATTTATAATTATGTGCCTAAGCGAAAGAGCATTCGACTGCTACGTCAAAAAATTTCGCTCACGGCAAATGTGTACTTTTAATAAGTATACTTTAGTATTGTTTGTATTGTTTAGACCTTTGTATGTTCATATTGTAAATGTGTATATATGATAGGTATATTTCACACATTCTAAAATCCATGGTTTGCTATGCTTCCTTTGGATAGAGAAAAGACAACCAATACTTTTTTACAACCAATACCTGCATGTATTACCGGCAAAAGATTTTTCTAGTTCAGCCATCGTGAGGTTCTTGTCTTCTAAACTGTAAAGTTACAATTACACATCTGATAGGTCTCTGTAATAGTGTAGTGTAGTGGCTACTTCCAAGAATGTTTTAATTTTTTATTTCTTTTACAATTATTTTTGTTCGAAAGCTGTTTGATACTTTCTTTGATGAGCCTGTAGGTTTAGTGGTTAGTGACCCTGACTGCTAAGCCGAGGGTCGTGAGTTCCCTCCCACCCAGGGCAAATAATTGTGCAATGAACACGATCAGTTGTTCTGTGTATAATTTATCTATAATATGAAATGTATCTAGAAATTTAATATTTGCACTGCTCTGCATAGTTTGAGATCAGACTGCCGTATGTGGGAGATCTGTAAGGTTTTCATAATATTACTTATATGCCTAACTCAGCTGTACTAAAGAAGAGTGCGTAGAGGGTCTCCGAGAATAGTTCAAATTCCATAGTGTCAGTTTCCCGATTACCTAAGTACATACTATTACGTTCACTCATTTCTTGAGTGCAAATAGCTACGGGAACTAATATTGGACTTTTAAATACCTAAAATGGCTGCTCAATACATTCTTTCATATAAATAATAATAAATTTCTACAAGTTACATAATTGGTTTGATTAAAATACCCTTTTTAAATTGGGCAATATTAGGTCATCAACCAATGTCGTTAATAAGTATTACTATAATACTATAATAACTTAATTTAACGGTCAGTTTAATTTAATGCATTAATTCATAAGTAGCATTCATTTCATAATAGCATTCTAAATTAATGTATTAAATTACAAAATTCTATTTGTTTTTTCTTGCTCCATGTATTTTTTCTTGGTCTAACTATCTGATTGGGATTGAGAATGGTAAAAAAATGGCCATTTCGAAATGAAAGATCGAAGAAATTTCGACGTATATACGTACCTTGTCATCTGCATCACCCATCCCGGTGTACAATACCCGCACTGAGTACCATTGAATTCTACTATACGCTTTTGTACCTCACTGTAGCCTTCGTTGCGATTGCCCACGCCCTCAATGGTCGTGATTTCCCAGCCATGACAGGAAAATACCAGTACAAGGCACTAGAAATAATTCGATATGGTCAGTTGTGAATATCGTCACCATTATCGGTCATCATTAGTTCACCTATTAAATATTTTTATTGATGATTACCGTGGTAATCTAGATTAGAGGATTAGAGGTCGTGGGTTCGATTCCCACCCAGGACTAATAATTGTGTGATGAGCTCATTCGTTCTGTGTCTGGGTGTACTTTATCTATTACATGTATGTATTTAAAAATATATAAGTATGTTTATCAGCAGTCTTGTTACCATAGTACAGGCTCTGCCTAGTTTGCGATCAGACGGCCGTGTGTGAAATGTATAAAAATATTATTATTATATCATATATTATAATCTAGGGCCTAACACCACAGCTTACTGAAGACTTCCAGGAAGAGACGCCAGTTATTAAACGATATTTATTTAAAGTTTTTATCGTGAGAGAGTCTTCCTTAAACAAATATGGGCCTGTTTCAAACGGAGTGAAACCACGGCCTTACAGAAAACCGGTGTTAAACAATTGTTTCGTAGCTTTTCACCGGCGTGAATGAGGTTACCAGAGCCCAAACCTCCCTTTCCGTAATTCTGGGGAGAGGAACTGAAAGGGTGGCAACACTCTTGTGACTCTGAGTTGAACTGAGTTGTACGTGTCCATAGACGGCGGTACTCGAACTGTTGACGTGAAAACTTCTTTAGGCGCGTTTGACATTTTTTGAGATGGGGAAAAAACAATTGAACTCGCGACACTGTTGCCGTTACCGACACCTCTATATATAAGTCCTTGACCTTGCACCTACCGAATATTACTTTTTCCAAAATTTAGACAACTTTTTAGTGGGTAAAAAATTCAATTCCCGGGAGGCAGTACAAAAATCAGCTGGATGGGAGGCAACAAACTCTTAAAAGGCATTTTGTCCTTGACCTTGCGCCTACCGACTATTACTTTTTCCAAAATTTAGACAACTTTTTAGTGGGTAAAAAATTCAATTCCCGTTTCCCCAATTCTCCCGTCCAGCTGATTTTTACAAGAAGGGCATCAATAAACTGCCAATGCGTTGGCAAAGATGCGTCGATTGCATGGGTGATTACTTCGAATAACAGAAATAAAAAAGTTTGAAAAAATAAGTACTTTCACTTATTGCATACAAAACGCCAATTTCATAGGTAAAGACCTATTATGTACCTATACATTTATATTCTCGTTAACGAGATCGGTAACGAGTAACATTTATACAAAAACTTACTGAGTTAACAGAGAACGTTTCAACCATGCTGGTGGTGTAACGTTTGGCGCGCACCATTACTATGCAGGAGCCGCATCCACCTTCATGACACATCGACTTGGTACCAGACAGTCCCAGCGTATACCGTAGGTAGGCGTTCAGGCTGGTATATCGAGGTAGACTTTCGTCCACTGAGATAAACAAAAATAATTCTTATTTTTTTTAGAAGGTTTTATCCTCTTCCATTTTCAGGTCAGTTTACGTTTATGTGAAAAGGTTTAATATGCCAAACCGAATTCGATGGAATTGCACACAGCGAAATCAGTTGACCTGCCTGGTTTTTGCTTTTAAATTGTACGTCTTTGTATAGAATACAACGAAAAGGGAACTCCTCTTTTTATTTTTAACTCAAAGTATGAGAAAGGTTATCCCGGTGACAATTTATAACTTATCTTTTACTATTAAATTACTGTGCGAAAACCATTGGTCTAAAGTTCATTAGTCTTGATGACGTTTGTTGGATATATTTGTCATACCATTACTTTTTAATAAACAAAAATGTCTTATTAAAACTATCTGTAAATTGTATGTCAATTTTCATTCAAAGAAAAAAACATCTTTGCCATAGCTTTTTTTTAATAATATGTATAATTAATTACTTCGGGTATAAACGCGATTATTAGGTATTCCCATGCAAAGTTATTTGCGAAAGTCCGCATCAGACCGCCTTATGATCACGGCTAGTGCAACCTGAAGGCTATTTCTCATAATAAAAATTCGGTCGCAATTTAGTTCTGATCAACTCTCGATCTCAGAACTGTCTTAAAAGGTATTTTCGTAGTAAAATATTAAACATCCAGCGTTGGCTGTAATGTGATTATACGAGTATCGTATTATAAAATAGAATCGGTAATCTGCTAGTTTTAATAATACTTTACTTTTTTATTCCTTTTATGACAGTTGCGAGATCGAGAGTTAATGGAAACTGAATTTTGACCGAACTTTTATTACGAGAATTGGCGTTCTGCTCGAAACGTCAGTGTTTCAAATTATTCAATTGATCACGATGATTCCCAAATTTTGTTTTTGGTTTACAATTATTATTCTATATTATACCTAAAATGAATTGTATTACTCAGTTTTTGAATTACTCAGTTTACTTTATCTATCATCATCTCATTTATAGTAAGTGCTATACAAGTATTTTATAAAATAGGAAGATTAACAGCGTTGTCTCTTCTAAATTCTCACATTTTGTTTAATAAAAACATAAACTTATGGTTTTAAGTACCCTCATAGTTAAACTGTAATTTCTAATAATTTATTGGACAGAGTTTATCAAAGTTCTATTTAGCAGATCCCGCCTAGATGTATTACATAAATCTACTCACCTAGTGCTGGCTGATATTTGGTTTTAAGCTTTTTAGTCTTGATAATAGGCCTCAACTATATTTTATAGTTGGAAGTCTCAAACCCTAATCAGGATATTTCTAAAATTATTCTAGTTGCAATTTCATCGCGCTTTGATTTAAAATGTACATAAGTTGAAAATCAGAACAAGCTGACATGTTTTCTCTCCTTAACATTTAGGTGCGAGTAATGTATGACAAATTTTATATGAAAAATAAATTTCATCATCATCATCATCAACAGTCTTTATTGGTACACTGTTGGATATAGGCCTCTCCTTAGAGAGGTGGTTTGAAAAAAAAATGTAGCTAGTTAAAATCAATTTTAAAAACCTATGTATTAAAAAAAAATCGAAAAGGTCTTAACGCTATCTTACCTCGACATAATTGGCCGTTTACAGTGAATTCAATTTTAGTCATACTGCTACAAAACAGGTATCACTTCAGAGGAAAAATATTATACTGAGTATTCTAGAAGTTCCTCGTATGTTTTAAAGTAGTCTTGTTTATGTAATTTACATTTGGCAAATGTTTTTTAAAGTTTTTTTTACAGACCCCGTGGTATGGTGTCAACCTGGGTTGTCTGTAAGCCATAAAATTTTCCCTTTCCTAATACATATTAATATATTCTTATTGTTTTTTGGACATGTAAGATTATTTAAAGAAATCTAAAGGGTAATGGTTTATTTATAGAGTATTAACTATGACTTAGGCACTCAGGTAAATTTTGTATTTCCATATTGGCAAATAAAATCAGTCCATTTGAAAAAACAATAAAAATGTTGATTTGTAGTAAAAAGGTGAGAATATATATTATTGGAACGTCGTGTAGTAGATTGAATGCACGGATGGCATACTGCCTTCAGCGGTCACCATGCAGCTTCCCACTGTGCTGAGTGTTGTAGGTTCGATCCCCACATGGAACGACACTTTGTGTGATCCACATATTGTTGTTCTGAGTCTGGGTTTCGTGTTAGTTTGTAAAGTCCCAACAGGATATGTTACTGGTGCGGGCATTGTATAAAAAAGAGGAGGAAGAATAACTTAACACAGATTTCCAGAAACCGCTATTAATCAGATCAGTAAAATATTTATACCACAGTGATTTCCTTAAATATTTCATATATATCTTGTTTTGTTTATTACAAAAACAAGATATGTATGAAAAACTATTTTTACTTTTTTTTAAATGAAAACCAATGCGTGAAAGGAGTTTTTTAAAGAAAATCTTCTAACAATAATAAAAATGATTGACAGCTAGTGATCGAATTACAGTTATCCTTAATATACTGGGTCTACCAATAGGGATAACCTGGTTTTGACAGCTCATAGCGCCCATGATTGATGATGGATCTTTGACGTCTCTTGACATTTGTGTTCAGTAAGGTTTGCCATTTTATCATGTCACGTTTCACTTTAAACTAACGCTTGGAAATTGTCCAAAATTATTACGCAAATTCGTTTTCTCCTACCGCTACAGTAAGAGCGCTTTGCGCAAAAAACGGTCGTCATAGTGCTCCTTCTGTGCGCGCTATAAATCGCATAATAACAAAATTTGAAAGTGAATTCACTCTCCACGATAGTGCTGTGCCTGTGAGACAAAGAAATGCCCGTAGTGAAGAGAATATCGCAGCCGTTCAGGCCAGTGTTGATGCGAATTCAAATCGATCAGTTCAACGCCGTTCACAAGAGTTGGGGCTCTCTCCGATGACCACCTGGCGTATTTTAGGTTGGATTTGGGCCTACACCCATGCGAAATTATTTTGGCACAAGAATTGAAGCCATCCGACTATTGTATCCGTCGTGAATTTGCCGATTATGCACTGGAAATGATGGAAGCCGATGACGATTTTCATAGTAAAATCATCTTCTCAGATGAGGCCCATTTCTGGCTCAATGGATTTGTTAATAAACAAAATGGTCGCTATTGGAGTGAGTCAAATCTATGTGTGGTTCATGAATCACCATTGCATCTGCAAAAAATAACAGTTTGGTGCGGTTTATGGTACGGTGGAATCATTGGTCCGTACTTCTTTGAAAGTGACGAAGGAAACCCTGTTACTGTGAATGGCGAACGATATAACTCGATGTTAACCGAATATTTATTTTCGGAATTTGATGATATTGATGCAGACGACCTTTATTTTCAACAAGACGGTGCACCACCTCACATTCTCGAGTGAACATGGAATTATTGCGTGGAAAGTTTGGTTAGTCTTTAATTTCGAGAAATGGACCGATCAGTTGGCCACCAAGATCGTGTGATTTAACACCTTTAGACTATTTTCTTTGGGGTTACGTTAAATCTAAAGTGTACAGCAATAATCCAGCTACAATTCGTGACCTAAAAACTAACATTCGACGAGCCATAGCCGACATACCAGCCGAAATGGTGCACCGCGTCATCGAAAATTGGCTTGAGCGGGTGACTCATTGGTCATTTGACCAATATATTATATAAAACATAAATTGCATAAAATTATCTATCAAATAAATCAATCGGATGCATTTTTCATAAAAAATTGTGTGTTTCATTCAATTTTTAAACCAGGACGTTCTTATTGGTAGACCCCATATACTTTTAATAAAGCATAAACTAAATAAATTACTAATATACCCTCCTCACTAATAATGTAGGTTATGGATAAGAAAAAACGAAAACAAGATAACAGTAATCGTTGAAATTTATTTTTTTAATGCGTAAGTCGTCGTCTTTCGTCCACACTTCATTATGTTATTGATCAGAGAGAGTGTGCTAGCTAGCTAGATAGCTCTGTAGACCACATTTCTTTGACTATCAATAATGATATGATATTTCTCTCACAACTATTCCTTGATGATACATACTAATAATTTTTGCGATTCTATAAACTTTACTAATGCAAAATATTATGATGAGTCTACACCGTAAAAGGAAACATACACAAAACGTTATATGTAGAGAAATGTTGAGTAAAATTGGAAGTCTAAGTAAAGATTCTAATATAAAATAAAAATTATTTCGGGAATAGTCATCAAGTTGTTACGAATTACAAACCGTACGAACGTACTCGTAATTCTATCAATAATATTTTTATTATCTTTTGTAACGCTACGCCGTGCCAAGCCATATTAAGCCAAGCCAAGCTATATGAAGCCAAGCCAAGCCAATGCCGCGCCACGACAGTTTAGTGCCGAAACTGTCAGCCAAGCCCGCCATTAATCGTCGGCGACGTCACATCCAACTGTCAAACCATGACTATAAATTCCTGTCCCGCTCATTTGGTGGATTCATTGCGTTGTGTACACTCGAATAAGTCGGAACTCTTGTCTAATTATATACGAATAGAAATTATAATTATATTCTTAAAATAAATAATTGATTAATAAGGAAAATAGTTTCGTTATTATTGCCGTTTGTTACATTCAGAAGTGGAATGAAACGTAATCGCCCTAACGAAGACGTGGGACATGGAGTCCGCCCGCCTGGATGGTGCGAACCAGAACACGAACAGACTAGTGAAGATGAAGACTACCCTCCACCACCTGCAAGAAAAATACTCAAAAGCCTAATAGAAAATGAGGTTGGGAAGGCGATACACGAACTCAACGAAGAATTCTTTTCACAAAATCATTTTAAGAGCCATCGCGCAGCCTCGCTTATCCCTGAATTTGATCCTGAAGGAGAAGATTGTACAGTAACGGCGTGGTTGAAGAAAATTGACCAGTTAGGAGACATACACGGCTGGAGCGATAAGGTAAAAGCGTTTTACTTACAAGATAAACTCCGTGGTCAAGCCCGCAAGTGGTATAACAGACTCGATGAATATAATTACACATGGACCGAGTGGAAACATATGTTACTTAGAGCTTTTCCCAAACATCGCGATTACAGTGCACTATTAGACGAAATGATGAACAGGAAGAAGCTGCCTAACGAAACAATGACGAAATATTACCAAGATAAAATCTCCATGTGTTTTCGTTGTGATTTATCTGATGCCGCTAGTGTTTCGTGCATAATCTGGGGCCTACCAATTTCGTTACAATCAAATGCACGAGCATTTCAATGTCAGCGTCCAGATGAACTTTACGAGGCCTTTCTATGTGCCCTCGATGATTATCGTCTACCGACATTCGAAACGAGAGAGAAGTTTAACAAAGATGCCAAACAATCATCCAGCTTAGAAAAAAAGGTTAACCCTGAAATTGATCCCTGCCCGCGTTGCAAGAAAATCGGCCATATTCTACGAAATTGTCCATTACCCGATCAACGGACTTGCTACAAGTGCGGAGTAAAAGGTCACATTGCCACACGCTGTTCTACCTCTTCAATACATACGAAACCTCCCGCCGATACAAATGGCAACGTCAAAGAAATCAAACTTGTTCAAAATTATAACGAGATTTATAAGAAGATTGTGAAGGTTAATGGTATTTTTCTGAAATCTTATATAGACACGGGCAGCCAAGTCAATGTTATAAACAACCGCATCGTTAGTGTTTTGCAGCTTAACGTTCGACCTACGAGAACTATTTTAAAAGGCTTTTCTGGTGGTTTACTAACAAGCCGCGGTGAAGTAGACTTTGACCTCGAAATTGATAACATTCAGGTACAATGTACCGCGCACGTAATTGAAGTAGATATGCAAGATATTCATTTGCTAATTGGCCAGCCAGTCATCAACGCTGATCAAGTCTCACTAGTAGTGACTAACGGAACCGCTACATTAAGAATGGATGCCAACCCGTTTGCCGAATGCCAGGTAGTAGAAGAAAATCAGAAATTTAAGGTAGTAACATCAAACAAAGAATCCTTACCACCCGGTGCCTCTATCATCAAAGTTAATGTGCTGGACAACGTTGAGGAAAATGATGTATGCACGGCACCCCGCCTCTATGAACTGCAGGGAGATTCGTACTCGTTACCGGCTGTATTGCTCAGAGGCAAAGAGGGCTACATGAAGATTATCAACACAGGTGACACGAATATCAACTGGGAACCCGGCAAGATCCTAACCCGAGCACATACCTGCGTCGCATCAGCAACCCACTCGAGCCGGGTAAGTTCAGCCAAGCCATTATTATCTAACTCGTCACAAATTCTGCCAAATAAGCCAAACTGCTCAGAGAATAGAGTTTGCGTTTTAAGAAATGCTACCAAGCCGTCTGCCTCCGTTTTAGTCACGACCCAAATCACTTGTAATAGAATAGGTGGTGTACCCATATCCGACATTAGTATAGGATGTTTAAATGAAAACGAGCATACAATTTTATTACATTTATTATCACAATATAAACACACTTTTGCAAGTAGTACACAAGATCTCGGTTGTTCAAATTTGTTACATATGAAAATAAAACTTACCACAGAGCAACCTATATATCGTCAACCTTATAGGTTATCACATACTGAACAACAAATAGTTAACTCCAAAGTACGCGAGTTACTAGATGCCGGTATTATTGAAGAATCCGAATCCGAATACGCCTCTCCAGTTATCCTAGTAAAGAAAAAGAACGGTGATAGTCGCTTATGTGTTGATTATCGTGCTCTTAACTCTATAACTGTAAAAGATAGATATCCGTTGCCCAATATCGATGATCAGATTTCAAAACTAGCTGGAAAGAAATACTTTACGTGTCTTGATATGGCACAAGGTTATCATCAACTGCCAATTGCACCCGAAGACGCTCACAAAACTGCCTTTATTACATCTCAGGGCCATTTTCAATATTTACGCGTGCCATATGGGTTAGCTAACGCACCAGCAGTTTTTATGCGAATGATTAGTAAACTTGTCGATTCTATCCGTCACAAACAATCATTACAAACCTCCATTTCTAAACAAGATATTTCAACAAATTATGACATTCTTGCATTCTTAGATGATTTACTACTACCCTCGCCTGACTTTAATTCTGGTATAAATATTTTAGAATCTGTGTTACAAAAGTTTCAATCAGAAAATCTAAAATTAAATATGAAAAAGTGTTCCTTTTTACAAAACAAAGTGACTTATTTAGGATATGAAATTTCGCACGAAGGTATACAACCATCAGAGTCAAAATTAATAGCAGTTTCACATTTTCCCGCACCGAAAAATATACACGAAGTGCGTCAATTTATAGGTTTATGTAGTTATTTTAGAAAATTTATACACAAATTTGCGGTTATAGCTCGCCCCTTAACGGAATTAACCAAGAAAAATACGCAGTGGATGTGGAGTGATAAGCAAATTTATAGCTTTGAGGAATTAAAGAAATGTTTGTGCTCTAAACCTGTGTTAGCCTTATATGACCCCGCGTTAGATGTTGAGATACATACTGATGCATGTAAATTAGGGATAGCGGGTATATTACTACAACAGCAATCTGACAATACGCTACGCCCTGTTATGTATTTTAGCAGAGTGACATCTCGAGAGGAAACCATTTATCATAGCTATGAGCTTGAAACATTGGCAGTTGTGGAATCGTTGCGTAAGTTTCGTGTGTATGTAGTAGGTAAACATGTAAAGATAGTGACCGACTGTACCGCCGTTCGCGCCACTCTTACAAAACGCGATATTATACCGCGTATTGCAAGATGGTGGCTATCAATACAGGAATACGACATTAGTGTAGAATATAGACCCGGGGAACGTATGAAACATGTCGACGCGCTAAGCAGGAACCCAATTGACGCTATAAATATTAATCGCCTAGAAGTCATTGACTGGTTTTTTACAATTCAATATCAGGATGACAAGTTGAAAAATATTATCGACCTACTAAAAACTGGGTCAGCCGGACGCGATGTAGCTAAAGATTACGTGTTGTTAGACAATAGATTATATAGGAAGACTCCAGCTGGTAATCGACTCGTAGTGCCTGGGGCTGCTAGGTGGAAGATTGTTCAAATGCATCACGACGAAATAGGACACGTAGGACTGAAACGTTGCACTGATCTGATTAAAAGTGATTATTGGTTTCCAAAGATGACTCGCTTCATTCGTAAATACGTAACATCTTGTCTAAGTTGCGCGTATGGTAAGGGAGATCATGGTAGAAAGGAAGGCAAGTTACATCCGATCCCTAAGCCTAACGAACCTTTTAGAATTATACATGTCGATCACTTAGGCCCATTCTGTAGAACAAAGAAAGGTTATCAATATATGCTAGTTATAACCGACGCATTTTCAAAGTTCGTAATCGCGGAATGTACGCGCACAGTTAACTCGGTAGAGGCCATCAGAGCTCTGAAAAGAACATTCGCATTATTTGGTTACCCGGACAGGATAGTTACCGATCATGGAAAAGCTTTTACCAGTAGGTACTTTAAGAAATTTGCGACGGATAAACAGTTTAGACATACGTTGAATGCTATCGCGTGTCCTCGTTCTAACGGACAAGTTGAACGCACTAATCGCACTATTTTAAATGCCCTACGTGCCACTGGCCCTAGTGAAGTAGCCAACAACTGGTCTAACTGTTTACCCGATGTAATTTGGGGTATAAATAATACTTTAAATGATACTACTGGCTTTAAGCCGTTTGATTTAATGTTCGCACGTACCAGTAGGCCAGTGTGCGATGTAATCATTCCTGATCGTGTTTCGGAATCGACCGAGTCCAAGCGTACTAAGGCTAGTGTCCGTATTAATAAAGCTAGCGCCAAGATGAAACATAATTTTGACAAACGCCGCAAAAACTGTCGTGTTTACAAAAAGGGAGACTTAGTTTTATGGAGGCAGGCACCTACTAGTAGTGCTTCTAAAGTTAACACAAAGCTAGATGACTTATATTCAGGCCCCTACATAATCACTAGAGCCGTTGGCAATGACAGATACAGGATCAGGAGCATAAAAGGTTTAAGGGGTTACAAAAAATTTACTGGGTTAGTTTCTGCAGACTCTTTGCGTCCTTATTGTAGTGTAGCCCCCGCATCTGACAGTGCCAGCAGCTCTGATGATCAACTAGAGACTGAGGACCTTATTGACCTGCTGGAAAGCTAATAATTACGTATGCTCCATTGCGGGAGCAATGATTACAGGATGGCCGATTGTAACGCTACGCCGTGCCAAGCCATATTAAGCCAAGCCAAGCTATATGAAGCCAAGCCAAGCCAATGCCGCGCCACGACAGTTTAGTGCCGAAACTGTCAGCCAAGCCCGCCATTAATCGTCGGCGACGTCACATCCAACTGTCAAACCATGACTATAAATTCCTGTCCCGCTCATTTGGTGGATTCATTGCGTTGTGTACACTCGAATAAGTCGGAACTCTTGTCTAATTATATACGAATAGAAATTATAATTATATTCTTAAAATAAATAATTGATTAATAAGGAAAATAGTTTCGTTATTATTGCCGTTTGTTACACTTTTAAAATATTACCTTACATTTTCCGATCGAATCTGACATAACCTCGTGATTCTACTAGGCTGATACCCGGGATTTTAAAAACAAGAAAAAAGAAACGAATAAAAATAATCTAAGCAAAAAATATTGTGATCTGCAGTTCAAAATGTTTGAAAACCTCTGGTTGGAATTTAAGAAGTTCCGAGGATGACAAGCCAATATGTGGCTTACACCTGTGTTCACAAACGTAGATAGCTATTAACATTATTAATTTCTTGAGTAAAACATCTGTGGGCTTGTTAGGTCAATTTTATTATGCAGACCGGGGCAGTTACTTAGTTTTTTACCACTTGGTTGCGTTCCACGAGTAAAAAGACCGTTTTTTGTTGCGGCACGTCAAATCTCCACAACAATTCCTTCTTCTAATAGCCGATTAAATTTTAATTAAATTCGTTTGAACTATGGACACAATTTCAAATTAAAAATAATAACACTTCTTGTTATTTCGTTTTATTAGTTTAATTGTTCAATTATTTATTTATGTTTTATTTATTTTAAGTCTACAACAACAAACACATTACAAATTATACTTCAATAAAAATACAAAGGTGGACTTAATGCCAAGGGCCTTCTCTAATAGTCAACCTTGGAGTGTGTACAAATTATGTATAATGCAGTTGGTTCATAGATAAAATTTAAAACTGTTATAAAATTATTACATACTGGCTGGTACCCGCGCCTTTGTTCGCGTGGAATTTGACAAGTGGCTAGCTACTTCTGGCATAGGTCCCAACCGGACGAAGCTTTATAGAACCAATTTTATTGCTTTAGGAAAGTCTATGTCTTACACATGGTTATGTGTTTTTGGAATCAGTTTCGTCTAGAAAGTATTCAGACTGTAATTACATGAGTATCAACGACTTACACAACATTTATTTATTCATTAGCTGGTCCTCGCGACTTCGTTGGATCGGGCAAAATTTTATAGGGTTTTTCTGAGAGGAAAAATAGCCTAAGTTACTCGTTATATAGAGTATAATATCTTACTACCTACCTGGTAGTAAGATATTATACAAATCAGTGATTTAGAAGATTACCCGGAAAAACAGACAGACAAAAAAGAATTAAATTGGTTCTTAGGCATAGTTATCGTGCAAATAACCGTGTGAACATGAAAAAACCTATTATTTTGACATTACAAAACGACACTTTAATCTTATTTATTTGTATTCTTACTCTTATTCATAAAACGTGGGAGGGCCATGCTTGACACATAATTAAGGACCAGGTTCGACCGGAGTGATACCACGGCCTCACATAAAACCGATTTTAAATTAATTAAAATTTAGAAAAAGTTCATACACGGCTGTAACTATAGCAAGAAGTGTTGGAAAAAAGTCTTGTAACGCATTTTTCGTAAGAACGTCCCGTGTGTAACTTAATTTGTTGTAAACAAAAAAATTGTCCGTGTGGTGACGGATTAAGAATAGAGTGTCACCACCCCGGTTCATACCATGGGTGTCGTAAGAGACGACCAAGGGAGCAAACTGCGCAGGACAACAGCACTGCAAAGAGAAGGAAAACTTGATACCAACCCATCTGGCCGGCGTGGTAAAGTAGGCCAAAACCTCCTTTCTAAGGAGAGGCCTATGTCCAGCAGTGGACTGTTAAAGGCTGTTGATGATGATGATGAAACAAAATAACCAACTTGTCTTCATTACTATTCATCGCGACGAATCTATTTATTATCCTGCCCAGAGTCTGGAGAGTCTGGTAATCTGTCATACAGGTCTCCTAGTATAGACACCAGTCTCTCACATAGACATATTATTGTAATTATACTAATTACAACTCCTAGTTTAAGCATGTATGGTATATATCAGTCTGTGTGAGAGAACAAAAAATAAAAATTATTATTTTATTATTATCATTATATTTTGCATTTCTACGTTACATTTGTGTGCTGGACAAAGAAGTGAATATTGCATTAGGTATTTTATATCTACAAACAGAAAAAAAATAAAAAAAGCAAAATAAAAATACGATTCCAAAAAATTGTTAATCAACCCATGAAGCGCTGATATACATGTTTATAAATTATAGGCTTGACATAAATCATGTGGACCATGAAGCAGAAGGTATTTCTTCTTATTATTTCATTAAAAGAAACTCTTCTAGTTTGACATTTAATGCGTCTAATATAACTTCCGTGTCGTAGGGAACACCTGAAAATATTATTTTAAATGTTTAGTAAATGTAGGTGATATCTATATAGTGATTCATCGGAACTCATCTGATATAATTAATAAACTATGTACTCCATGTTTGCTATATAAAAAATGATCTGAGACCATAATAATTCATCTAATCTAAGAAGTACCGTTTGACGTTTTATACTTTTCCAGCCGAAACAACTTTGTATAGATGTAACTCGGGCAATTTAAAACATTCTAAATCCCACTTTAAAACATTCAAAATTACTACAAAAAGTTTGTCTAAAGAAAAGGGTCTTTTACATTTTCAATTTGAAGGATGTGTGAACATAAATATTTTCATAGAAATATCAGGCTGAGGCTAAGATAGATTTGCCTCATCCTAAAAGTATTTAAGCCCCTTTAACTTTTAACTCTGCGCTTTGGTCAGATTATCATTCTAATTTGTACAGTGACGGTCGTATGCTTTGTCAGTTTACTCTTGAGATATGTTTGAGTGTCTATACTCATGTTGATGGCATTCTAATTTTAAATATTTCACTTGGCCCTTACCTATATGAAGCCACTCGTTGGTGTCATATCCAGAATCTTTCCTGGACTCCATGATACATGATCTTAAAGCATGAGTAACGCCGTGTGCAGTACACATACCCATTTCACCACACGCTGGAATAAAATTATAAAAAAGAAGAAGACACAAGAAAGTCACACTTAGTTATGTTTTATTATTTTTCTAAATAAGTTAAATAAGTATAGCACACAAAGTTTTTTGTATTTAGAACTGTATGTTAGATTGGTGTACTTACTCTTCGATCCTAATACTCCTTTAGGATTCTTGGAATTATATCTAAGTTTCACATTAAACTCGCAAGGTATGTCGAGGCATAGAGGTACGTGATAGGTCAGAGACCTATTGGTCAATAGTTCTCCAGTTTGCTTATCAAACTGAAGCTTCTCGCAAGTAAAGTAACCGATGCCCTGAATATAGCCACCCTCAACCTTAAATCAACGGTACATACGTTAATTAAAAAATAAAATTGCCTGTATATTTCATACAATAAAAATTAACTCTAAGCTCAACTCACTTGGCCAACATCCAGCATTGGATTGGCACTGATTCCAACATCTTCCAAGATGTCCGCTCTTATTATTTGAAACCTTCCAGACAAAACATCCAGTTTCGTTTCTATAATTGCTACAGCAAACGCACTGTACCCTTTCAAAGCCGGATCAGAGTCCTGCATCATGTATAACGAACACAAGTCAACTTGATCTTCCCCAGCTTTCTTGATAATATCTTTCCAGGTCCCAGTAGGCATTTTTTCTCTTATTGGAGCCAATCTAGACTTTAATTCTTCGCAAGCTTTGATTATAGAGTAACAAACACTTTCCGTTGCGATGCTGGCGCCGGAAAATATGTTATTTGCGGCGACGAATGAATGATGAGGTATTACTTTCACATCCTCTACTGAAATTCCTAACTCGTAAGCGCAAACTTGAGCAGCTTTTGTGTTTATTCCTTGTCCCATTTCCACTCCACCAGTGGTGACTGTAACTGTTCCATCTCCTCGATAAATACTTACTAAAGCTGAATAGTTTCCATAATATATGACAGGAAAGGACATGACGTTGACAGAGATGGCTCTTTTCATCCATCTATTTGTTTTGTTAAAATTTTCTATTTCTTCAACTCGTTTCGCATGATTGACATCATTTTTCAAGGTTTCAATTAGTTCTGGCAGATCGTTGTCTTCAGTTCTCATGTTTATTTTGCGGAGTTCAGTTGGATCCTTTCCAACGACAAACGCGATGTGTGACATAATATGTTCTATACTGCTGATAGCTTCGCAGGTGCCTGGAAGATTTCATATATGCAATAAATGATTATAGCATATATATAGCATTCCTAGCCAGGTCAGTCTATGTATGAATGGGTGACCATTCCTAATATATTCTGACCCGTCTGTGCCTTGGAAAGCACGTCAAGCTGTCGGTACCAGTTGCGATATGAACATCTGTGACGATCATTACGGTTAGTTACAGCCCTAAAAAAAATCCAACAAAAATCCTTCTACAGAACTACGATATCGCCTAGTACATGGGTTGTGGAGGTCTACTGGCAGTCACTCCGCGTAAAAAACGAAGTACAGCCATCTATAAGATTATTTTTATTTGTATGAAGTTTTTTAAAAGATGTGATTACAAAATGACTACTAGTACTATTATTATGGAACAATTAATAAACACTGAAAGTACTTTGTGTAACTCGGCTTGACATAATCGTACAAAATTTGAGTGAAGAACTCTTAGCGATACTGTAACAGTCTTTGACTAAACCAATTACGCTAAGTGTTGAATCACCGTACCTTACCTGGTGCTCTAGCAAAACTGTTAGTTGGCAGATCCGTTAATACATTAGCTGTCCTTAATCTCCAAGTTTCAGTGTTGTAACAATTAGGGAACCCTGAAGCTGTAAAATCTAAAATATCTTCGTTGTTGGCATTACCCTTGTCTTCAACTATTGTGGCGTCCAGGTATTGGATTTTGCCATTGTCATCAACGCCTACCTAAAATATTGTTGACTTATTTAAATTTCTATTGTGGAGTTGAACATAAAGTATAGAACATACATAGAAGATTGGAAAACAAAATCTATCAATTAAGTGATTATTATTAGCTATTCATATTAAGGAGTACTTATGTGGTAAAATTTGTTTAATAAACTTTTTAATAATCTTGATTACTGCTGGATGAATTTTAAAATATGCTTATTTAGCTTTTCATCAACATTTATCTATAGATATTGTTAGTATTGAGCTTTATTCTAAATAGATAGTCTTGTTTTGTAACAATAACATTTTGATGTCTATGTATACAAGACGGTTAATAGTCTATTAAGTGAATAGTCTATTAATATATAATATAATATAGTATAAATTTTGTAGAAGTCTACAAATATTTACTTCTAAGATTTGTTTAAGACTGTACCTTCGTATGATTAATTCGAATAACAATACTATAGTACTTAATAGACTATTCACTATCTATTAGAAAAACCCTTAAGTTCAATACATTGTTCCAGGTGTGAAAATTTCCATGATGAAATTAGAAGGACTCTGGCACTCTTTTTCGGGTTATTGAGTTCTTTGTTGTTTTTTTTTTGTTCTCAAATCTAATATGTATTATAGTACGTACGTAAGTAAACTAAAACTATATTGTAAAAAAGAAAATTAAGATTCTCAGAGTATTTACCTCATACTCGCACTGTGAAGGTAGTCTTTTGCCTATCATTGACATGTTAGTTTGCATTGGCAGAATAAATCTGCATGGAACGTTAAGTTTCTTAGCGACGAGAGCACAAGCAGTTGCTGCTTGCGCACTACGACTGATTTTGCCTCCAAAAGCACCGCCGACACGACGGACTTTAACTAACACCCTAGAAGTATATATCCAAAGTTATACATTGTAACAAGGGTGCTATTATTCTATTACTAGAATCCATAAACAGAGTTAGGTATAAAAAAAATATCTATTTTCTAGTATTATATTTTCTCAGACACGAGCGTTCGTGTGAATGCTTACCTTAATAAGTACTAATAAGAACAAAAAAACAATCATTTTGTTTCTCTTTTTAAGTTGTGTAGTTCCCCTTTGGGAATATTTTTCAGTAAGACATATTACGGCGTCTTTGCTGTTCATAAACTATTCTAGTAATTAAAATGTTACTAAAACTCACTCGCTTTCAGGAATTCCTAGAGAACGTGCTATAGCACTTTGCGTTAGATCCATCCATTGCGTTGAATCATGTACCTCAAGAATATTGTCGATTGGAATAACTACACAAGTGATAGGCTCAATATAATAAAGATACTGCCATTCGATATTGTACACTCCTTTGATAACTTTCTTGACATCAGTTCCTCGTGTTTTAGGATCAATTTTTGGAGTACCAGCGATATATCTTTTACTATCTTTCTTTGCAGCATTAATAGTCAAAACGGGAGCGACATTGCTTACATTTTTGTAGGTCACTTTGACTCTTTTAGCAACTTCTGCGGCAAGTCTTTCAGTTTTTGCTACAACTATGGCTATTGCTTGACTATAGAATCTTATTTTAGTTGCCAGAATTTCTTCGTCCACCGATTGTAGCGGTATTCCGGGGAATGTAAAAGAATTAACACCAGGAATATCTTTAGCCGTGTACAGTGCTACAACCCCATCTATTGCCTACAAATAAAGTTCATCTGATAAACATTTCGTAAAGCATTTCAACGCTATAACATAAATTATGGCCTATTCCATTTATATAACACACCGTAATAGAATCAAGGATACAGTTTCTATTAGATATATACTACAAAAGATATTGAGAGGACACAATGTCACTTACCAAAGCATGTTCAACGTCAATAGTATCAACTTCTCCGGAATGTATCGTTGACAATACGAAGGCACCAAACACTTCCCCAGGCTGAGGAGGCAAATCATTCGCGTACATGGCCTCTCCTGCTGCCTGAATCTTAGCCTCTAGCTTCGTTATCGGCTTGTTCAAGGGGTATAAAGAAGGATCCGTCAAATAATCAGGCTTGCCCTTAGAAACAGGTCTTGTGAGCAGGCTACCTCCAGAGATATATTTGCTTAAAGGTATTCCAATCGGGGCGATGTTAAGTATATACTGAGGAAATTTTAATTGTTTATATTGATGTAACTTAATGTGTGTTTCATTATTGATTGTGGTGAGATGATTTTACACTCATAATTATATCCTTTTTTTTCTGTGCGGAAATCTCCTCGGATACCACCCACTGGTGGTTATGTCGGACTCGAACCGACCAAAAACCACACGCCGTCTCGGGTACCAGTTGCCGGGGAACCAGGAGTAGGGTACAGGAAGGAAATCCCTGATACACTCATAATTATATCCTGTAGATAGACTTAGTCAGAAGTTACTAAAACATGGAAAAGTAAAACTCTATTAATTTCATTAGTAATACTAATTAAATTTAATAAATAATAATTATTATTTATTGCGTGAAAAAAGGCCGAAAAATATCCAATGTATTTGCTGTTCAATAAGACGGTTGCTAGCCAGTATGAAATAAATATTTAAAAAACGAGTGTGCTTTAGACCACACGACTGAAGTAAAACTTCATGGCTATGAGAAAAAGAGAGAAAGCAAATGTGTGCTCGGACCTCTCTCTCTTGCCCCTACAGTAATATATGAAACGTAACACTCTCTCATTCCATCTTTACTAACTTATATCACCGTTTCAACTTCCATTCGCCTCGCCTGATCACACTTTTCGTAAGGCTCTCGTCACGAATTTACCAGCTTACTCCCCAAGTCAAGCGTGCGTAAAGAAGTTTTACTTCAAAAAATAAAAAACCAACGACCCATAGTTATGTCTTCTTGTAAGAGTAATAGCTAGAAATAATCAATGTTAATATCTAAAAAAAACCAATGATTGGTTTTAGCACATTTTTAAAGAATATAAACATTTTAAAAGATTCACCTTATAGAACAGTCCTAGTCCCAATTTCTTCCTGCACGATATGGATGGTTCTCCAGGTATTTCAACTGGTAGCAGTTCATCGTTAAGCACTTTCAGGGCTTTTTGAAGGATCTTATCGGAAAACACCTTCTTTCCGATCAAATACTTCTCAGTTTTAGTCGCGTGCACAAATTTAGGATCAATATTACCGTAAACTATTTTAGCTTTTGTAATCTTGTTTCCTTTTCCGAATTCTAGAAAGAAGGCTGCATTAACTATTGCCAAAGCATTTTGGTTGCGTGGCATAATCTGAAACAGTTCTATAACATAAGAGATGTTGCGTAGGTATATGAAGAAATGTAAATATGTTAAATACTAATTCAATAACATATGTATGCACTTAATGTGCAAATAAAACGTCTTTCAATAAGCGAATAGTTGATCAATTTTCATAATTATTAATTTGAGTTCGTTATTCTATGCATTAACAACTTTATTAATCATATTTTCTATGGCACACGTATGCTACAAGTTCGCAGAATAGACAATATCAGAAATAAATCAGTTCTTGATTGAGAAAAAATGTATTTATCGTTATTGATTGCTATCGGAATGGAGCTAATGGTGTGGTATTAGCTAAAAATGAGGAAGTCGCTTCTACCTATATGGACGATATTAAGTTTACCTTATAACTCCGAAATTTACATGCGCTGCTCAAAGGTGGCAATTCTACGTTCACCATCAACTTGCCCGTCATATCATATTCGATAAACTGTAGTACTTCTAGAGCCTCCTGTTTTCCGTTGGACTGTCCTATCGGTAAGCAAAATTCAATCAGATATTGTGCATGCAAATTTTTATATTCGTAAGGTTTTATGGTTAGGTAATAATAATAATAATAATAATAAAATAGCTTTATTTATTCCACATAAAATAAATTACAATTATGGGTTGCTAATTTGTATTTGGTAAAATTTAATTATTTTATAATAAGATAATTGAAATAGTAATAATTATTTAATCATGCGCGTTTAATTTGTGGACCCCCTCAGGGTAAAAGCCTCCTCCAAAGAATTACACTTTTTTCTGTTTTTGGCGGTTGTCATCCAGTCTCTTCCTGCGTAGGCCACAATCTCGTCCTGCCACCAGGCGCACGGGCGACCTCTCTTTCTAACGCCAAACGTTCCGTTCCATTTCGTGATGTTGATTGTCCATCGACTGTCATCATATCTCGCCACATGACCGGCCCCCCTCCATTTTAGACTTTGAGAGTAGTGTAGAGCATCCTTTAGCTTGGTAACCTTAAGAATTTCTGTGTTTCTTACTCTATCTCTCAGTTTTCTCTCTGAGTGGTCAGTATTTTATGTCTCGCCTTGTGATCATAGATCCACGTTTGGCAACCATATGTAAGACAGGGTAAAATTGTAGTGTCTAAAATTATCCTTTTCATTTTAATTGGTAGTTGTGACTTAAGAATCTCCTTTTGTGCCCAGTACTTTTTCCATGTAATAGCTTCTCTTCTGTCTATTTCCTCTATATTTCGGTCTTTTCTAAATGAAATTTGTTTCCCAAGGTAAATGTAGCTCTCCACGTACTCGAGTGGCACATCGATAACCAGTATTGGCTTTAATTCACTGTTAGTCATGATTTTGGTTTTTTCTAAGTTCATTTCCAGGCCTGCAGAAACACTAGCATTTTGAAGTTCGTTGATCATTATGTTGAGCCTATATGGGCTTTCAGAGAACACCACGATGTCATCCGCAAAGCGTAGGTGGCTTAGGTGAACTCCATTCACATTTATTCCCTGTTTTGTAAGTTTTCCATTACATTTTGTAGGACTGCTATAAATAGTTTCGGCGAGATGGGGTCACCTTGTCTGACTCCTCGGTTGATGCTGATCCTGGTGCCCACTCTGTCTAGTTTTACTCTACTTGTGCCGTTAACATATATATTTTTAATAATGTTTATATATTTTGCGTTAATATTTTGTTTGTCTAGTGCTTCCCAGATGCTAATGTGAGAGATAGAGTCAAAAGCTTTCTTATAATCAATAAAAACTATGTAGAGGGGTTTTCTGTATTCGACATACTTTTTGATAACGTGTTCTATGGTGTGAATGTGATCTATAGTGCTAAAGCCACCTCGAAATCCCGCTTGTTCCATAGGATGGCATGAGTCCATTTGTGAAGATATTCTGTGTAGTAAACAGGATGCGAAGAGTTTATATAAGCAAGACATAAGAGTTATCGGACGGTAGTTTCTAATGTCTTTAGGATCTCCCTTTTTATATAACAAAATAATTTCCGAATCTGTCCATTGCTGCGGTACAGTTTCTTCTTCGAGTATTTTATTGAACAATATTGTAAGGGGTGTTAGTAAATGTTTTCTGCCGTGCTTGATGCATTCATTATTTAAACCGTCTGGTCCTGGGCTCTTATCTGATTTTAAATTATTTATTTGTTTAAAATTTTGTACATTCGATGTGTTTTTTAGTTGATCTTGTTCTTTGTTTTCCACTGAGTCTGGTATAGAACTAAAAAGGCTTGTGTAGAAGTCTGTGGCTATGTTTATAATGTCATTTCATGATTTACAAATTGTATGCCCCCGCTGAAGAGACGGGACCAATTTTTTTGAAGGATCTAGTTCTTTGTATGCCTTTTTTGCCGATCTTGTTTTTTCTATACATTTTTGACAGTATATATATTATAGTCTATGATTTTCATAGCATTTTATGATCTTTTTATTTGTTTCTTTATATAAGTTTTTTAGTTCATCTTTCTCCTTTTTAGTAAGAATTCTTTTATTTTGTAGTAAGCTTCTCTTTTCCATTAATGGAATTACTTCTTCTGGTAGAATTTTTCTTTGACTTGATTGTGTTTTGTTTATTAGACTTGTTAATATAGAGTTTTCGATCTTTTTACAGTATTCCATGACTGTATATCTTTCGTGGTTTTCTGATAGTTCAGGTATAAATTCATTTAATTTATTTAAGTGCATGTCTTGCTCTTCTATAGTCTTTAATGAGTTTCTCGGACTGGTGAAGTTTCTTCTGCTCTGTTTTTTCGTACTTAGGCAAAGTGTCTCTTTTTTGATTATATAGTACATAATGTAATTTTCGTCTTCTATTATATTTTCACCTAGCCGTCGCACCTCGCACTGACCCAGAATATCGTGTTTTATGTTACGAAGAGCGTCTTCAGTTCTAGTTTTTCAGGTGTGGATAGTGATCTTACGTTGAGGGTACAAATATTTATTATATGTTTTACTCTTAATCCATTATTCTTTGGAGGGTTGTGGTCTATATCTCCCGCGGTGACCAGCCGAGTTGGGAGATGAGGTAGAGGGCCCGACTGTGGTTGCTATGCTAAGTTGGGCTGGGATGTATTTGCTTGTTTTTGAGTGGTACCGGTTCGGGTGTAGTTTAGTTTCGGTTTTTGAAGTATATAATCTCTCATATTGGAAGCTTTATTTTTCTTCGATGGTTGTTTACTATCGTGTTGAGCTTTATGGCAGCCGGAGTGCGGTGGTATTATCTCCGGAGATTCAGACATGTTCCTCTTATTCATTTGCTGGCGATGGTTGCTCTTATTGAATAACAATTCAATAAGAGTAACCATAAGTTTGTTTAAGTTTATCGTATTTTATAAAAGCAGTGTTGCCTGCTTCTTTTTCCTTCTGTAATTGAGGTTGTAGTTCCTTGCGCTTGTTCAAGATTTCCTTGGGGTAATCTTCTTTTATATATTATGACGTATTCTGCAGGCAAGACTTGTTTTTCAGAACCTTCAGTTTGAAGCCCAATGTAGAAAATGTTATTACAACTGGCCTGACTTTTTCCCCTTTTTTCCCTAGTCTTCTGGTTGCTTCGATTTGAGATCTGTCGCATGAGAGTTTGAAGTGCATTTTTATAATATCAATTATTATATCTTCTAACTCGTGGTATGATTTTTCGCTTTCTTCCACCCCGAATATCACTAGGTTTTTTCGTGTAATTTGTCTTTCTAGGCTGTTTATTTTTGCGCTTTGCTTTTCTATTTTTTTTCCAAAATAGCATTTTTCTGATCTAAAATGTTGAATTTCTCGTTTATGTTATTATTTATTGTGCTTTTTATATCCTCCTTCATATCTAGCATATCTTGTTCTTGTTGCGCCAATCTTGTTGCATTTTTAGTAACATTCGTTTTATTTCATCCATGATAAGTAAAAATATGACACTTAGTGACCTCTATGAGATGAGTGGTGTTATAAGGATACACTCCAATCCCGTTGTTAGTAGAACAAGGTTTTATGGTGAGTAGTGTTAACAATATCGCTAGGTGGCATAAGCGATCTTTCTATAGCGTTATATCATGATTTTGCCAGATGGTGCTAGTAGGCACAAGGATGCACGTTCGGAAGACTGATCGGTTTTTTGGTGGCAGTTTTATGGTTTTATTCGATGATTCTTCATACGATCCTAGTAATTTTAAGCACTGTTTATGTATTTATGCACTGTTTACAGTTTTACAACTCTGTATTTATTTTAAAAGCTTAAAGAAATACGCGAGCGATATCAACACTGGTGGTTGGTATGGTTGGGTACTTAGATAAATTAGTAGCATAGAAGTTTATTTTTATTTACCACCAAGGGAACATTTCAGCATCTTGGGCTTGGTAGCTCGTTAAATATTGTATGTTAAATAACCTACATTGAAACACTTGCGTTTGTATTTCTTAAGAGCCATAGGCGTATTAAGCAATCAAAATAAGCAAGGTCTTACGGACAGTGATGTAGGCTCCAACACATTCAAACAGAAGAAATAAATCGGACTGGTACGTAGGTACTGCTCGCTTGTACATCAGGTTACCAGCTATTGAACCAATCTGTAAATAAATATGAATTAAGTTAATCTTCTTAACACTCAACCGTGTTCTTAGTACAAAGAACAAGAAAGACACGCATCAGTGCTAGAGTCTTTACTGTCTATCTTCCTATCTATAACTATTGTCTGAAGATTTCTTCAGATGACTGCCCTTATCATAAGATAATTACGAAAAATTAATTGTTACTTTCCATTCCACTGTTGCTATTTGCTTACCCCAAGCATTTGTTAGTCTTAAAGGTAGTTGCATTGAAGCTAATGTCTTCCGTTATCTCCTCCATCTCTTCTATCTAAGCCTGGCTTGTGTTCATGTCATACTTTTTGTATAAACGATTAGTTTATACAAAAAATATGACATGACTTGATATTGAAATATGAAAACTTCTCCTAGCCTTTGGCATTTTGATTCAACAAAATTTGTATCGTTATAATGTAAGACAAAGGTATTTAAAACATAAATTCAATGTCATCCTATCTGATTGCATTAACATCAGGGCCAAAATTGTCCCTGACGACACGCAGCCTTGAACACAAAAAACTGCTTTAATGGAATATATTGACAATACTTTATTCTGTACTAGATATGAAGTTCATAAAGTGCAAGAGGTGAGAAGAGCCATAGGCAATGGCATGGTTTCAAAGCTTTTATCTGCATCCTACCTTTCTAACAGGAATATTTGCAACTAGTTCGAAGTGCTTCACAAATTCTGTCAAGTAAGCAAACTCATTCCTTGTCAGCGAAACTTCTTTAAAGATCCTGACTGCGTCCTCTAGCGAAACATTTGCGCCCAGCACTAAGTTTTGGTCAATTTTGTATCCTTTGAGAGATGACACTGCACTTATGTCGATCAAGATTTCCGGGTACTCGAAGTTTTTAACAATACCTGAAATTGTTCTTTATTTGTAAATAGTCATTTTAGGGTGGTACATATATTCCTCGTATATCACCCAAAACGAAAGGGAAAATTTTACAAAATTCCATAGTTTTAAGCCAGTTAAGTTAGAAAACAAGCACTTACATCTAATCATCATCAATCATCATTTTCATGCAATCGATAAATGCTGTAAAGTAAATAAAGCACGGATGTCGTAGTGGTTCAAGCGGTCGCCACGCCGCTTACTACTACGCTGAGTGTTATGGGTCCGATCCCCACATGGGATGACACTTTGAGTGATCCACAAATTGTTGGTCTGAGTCTGGGTGTTCTTTGTGTCCGTTTCATGTATGTTTGTAAAGCCTTCCGCGACTGAGGATATATTCCTAATGCGGGAGTTGTCTTTTTTTTTAAATAAAAAGAAAGAAAAAGAAATACCTATAAAAATATTAATAACATCCACTTGTACAAACTTACCTCTGCCAGTATTTCCATCTACAAGCATATACGAATTATTCCTATATTTATTTAAAACATTAAATATCTCATCCTCATCGAACACCTTGAAAAACTTGCGCTTGCCAAAGTTTAGGACAATCATGGCATCAGATTTTATGTCCTCAACAAGAGTCCAGTCACTGTACTCACTCCCGCTCCCATACGAACCGTTTCTGTGGCAATTTTGCCGACCTCTTTCACAAGTATTCAGATCTTCAATATCTTTAACTCTTTGGCATAATTCTGGAGGGGCATCAATGGCAAATGATTGGACAGTGTCTAAAATGGGTCTGAAGCCTGTACATCTGCAAGTGTTACTCCCGAAAGAGTTCTCGAGTTCAGCCATTGTAAGGTTTTTGTCTGCTAAACTAAAAATAAAGGCAAAGTTGAGTAAATTATTCCGCTTCGTTGAAGTAAAACCAATAGATTGTTTTATTTTACACTGAGGTCAAATAAAACACGGTAGTATTAATACTACCGTGTTTTATTTTTTAACATCTAAGAGACAGGTAGCGCATGAGTATAATAAAACTTAAAAACGGGTGCTAAAAACGAAAATGCGATGCGAATGCGAGAAACACCATCTAATCTAACCGTCTTCAAAAAATGAGACGAATCTGAATTTAGTTTTTTTTTTACGTTTGTCATCTTAGAACTCCATCATTTATAAATTAATAATAGATCATTTTTATATTGATTTGGCTTTTTTGCCTAGATATGTGTAGTTATCGTCTTGTTTCATTTAAATTTGAAGAAATAATTGTATTACTGTAACGATTATATTTTAATAGTACCCCTTAAAGAGGGCAAAATTAGGCCTGCGCTTAAGCTGCCTGCGCATCGAATGATACTTTTCAAAAAGTTATTTATTAAGTAACACAAATATTTACACACATTTATCTCTTCCGCGTGATCTGCGCCCGCTGAAATATCTAACATTCATCAGAAAACAACTCTCATTTGTTCGTATTTTATGCACTATCCGTTCCATTATTCCATTATTTATTTATTTTTCTTTTTATTTTGGCAACAAACAGTTATATACAGTTATAATACTTATAAATATTTGGCGCTGTATTCTGTTATATTATCTTTTTTATTGTGCTTGGGATCTATTCCCAATAATGGTATAATGTTTTTTTTCCAAATTCCGGGAAATACTTCAGCTTCAATTGAAATGCGGAAAATTATAGTTACTGGTCTAGCAAGAAGCTCAGCACATCTAGAGATGAAAATTGAGTGAAGGTCATCCGATCCTACACTCTTTTTAGTGTTAAATTGTTTTGATTCCATTAATACAAGGTCTAAATGAATTTCCAATGGATTTATATCTACGCTTGAAAGTAAATTATTATGTATATAAGTGTTGACTTGAGATGTATTACTAACAAAAACCGAAGTACTCACTACTCTAAAAGCATTACTGAACTCACTTCCAGAAGAGAGTATTTAACCCTTATATAACATCCTTTGTGGGATTTCGCACCTTTATTCATAAACTGAATTAACTTAGAATTTCAATATTGTGGGAAATCGCATTTAAAGTTTGACATTCATGTACGTGCGAGTTCGTCAAAAAAAGAACGACGATCTCTTATCTCTGCCATTTTCATGGTATCGAGTCGGTTGTTGGATTGTTCGTTTTCTACTGATGAAGTTGATTTGGTATTTGTTGAAAACTCGAAAAACGTAAATTTTGAATTAATTCAGTTTATTATTAAAGGTACGATTTGATTAGATGCATTTCAGATTTGACGAATGACCAAAATGATTAAGGGTGAATTTTGATTGTTGTCTTCGGAAAACTTCATGAAATTTTGATAACAGCCTTCAGACATTTTTTAAATCTACTCCGTAATAATAGTAGTATCTTGAATACTGCCGTACGTTTTCAATTTTTTGTAGTACTTAAATTTTTCTTTTGATGATTTGATAAGGGATTATGTATACCTCGGAGGATATTTTTGTTTAGAACATTGTGTGCGAGAGGGCACAAATTCATCAATTGTACTATCAAGAACACTGTAAAAGTAATTAGTCATAGCGCACCTTTATTCATAAACTGCATTAACTTAGAATTTCAATATTGTGTTTTGTATTATAATTATTGTAATTTCAAAGTTTGACATTCATGTACGTGCGAGTTCGTCAAAAAGAGAACGACGATCTCTTATCTCTGCCATTTTCATGGTATCGAGTCGGCTGTTGGATTGTTCGTGTTCTACTGATGAAGTTGATTTGGTATTTGTTGAAAACTCGAAAAACGTAAATTTTGAATTAATTCAGTTTATTATTAAAGGTGCGATAGAATCGACATCGGAGAATTTTGTTATAGGTGTTTCCCAGTACAGTACGGTATAGTAGAGAGCTAAGGGCAGTCCTTATTGAGTCGTAATCGGCTTTATAATATTGTCTTTTAATTGTGGAAGAAAGCTTAAGTGTAGAGCAATAGTTTAATTGAATGTCAATTTCTAAAGGCTTGTAGTGGGAGTCTTGCGGTACAAGAAAACGACCTTCATTGCGCTGCGAAGGATAAACTCCACGACGTACGCCAATCATTATACTTCCGCCGCGATCATGACCGGTTTCTCGACTGTTACGGTCGCAGCGATAAACTTCGTATCGATTATCAATATATTCGTTGTTGTGGTAATTATTAGTAAGCCAAGTTTCTGTGATACGTATGACGTCAAAGTTGTTATTTTGAACTTCTTTAAGGAATGAGTGTTATTTAGTGCGTAGTTCCCTCACGTTTTCATAATAAAATGACAAGTTGGCGTAATCGAATTATAAAAACATTCCCGTCAAATATCCAAGTTCAACTAATATTATTTAACAGTTTACAATAGAATTTACATTTACATTTTTTGCTTTTACAATTATAACGTAGTTCAAGATAATATAATATAAATAATAATAAAAACGATGACAATGGCATGTAGAGCAACAAACAAGTATTTCATTTTTGGGAGATCAGTTTCGTCACACTTTGTATTTTGGAGAAGTCGGTTTTGCGCACTAATATTTTACATTCAGACACCCATACGTACTTATAGTTATTTTCATTAGCGAGCAGACGAACTTGGCTATATAATTGGATATCGTATGGTGTTAGATGATCATTAATGAAAATAGGTTTCGCCTGCCCGTCCAACCCGGCATCCACTGTAGTCAAACCTCGTCGCTAGATGTACTATAATTGGCTGATTCACTGTCAATACCTATGGAACCATTGGTGTTGTTTACATTAAAGCGTCGAACTCGGTGAATACTGAATAATTGATGTCGGTCGCGATAGGAAAGTCAATCTTCTTGAGATTGATTGAAGGACATCATTCACGCTCCATACAAAAAGTACCCAAAAAAAAAATGACAGAAATAATAAAAAAATGCATTTATACGAGTTCATCTGAACAATTTTTACTTCATTAGGTACTACAGCAAAAATCAAATAATGATGATAAAGAATAACTTAATCTCGCATAATAATAATATAATATGACAAAAAGCCTAATTATATACAATCATCATTAGGTACCTAAGTACCTACGTAGGTATTTATGTGTAGGTATTAGTGTTATAAAATATACATATGTAAAGAAAAAGACTTCATTTCGTTACCTACGTGGCTTTATTCATCTCGATGGTCTCATTTCGATGGTCTTGCGTTGTTTAGGTTTTTAATTATTCAGAAATAGTCAATTGATCACATCACATCAACAGCCTTTAATAGTCCACTGCTGGACATAGGCCTCTCCTCAGAAAGGAGGTTTAATTGATAATGTAAATGCTCATTTTATGATTTTCGGTTGAAAAGTTGGTCGTAGACGTTTGTTGTAATAATAAAAAATGTTTAAAAGATCATTTGCCGTAAGATGACACAGTTTTTTTTACTGCCATTTTAATTTTTGGGTACATTTTGAATGACGTCCTTTTCACCTTTTATGAAAGGGACCACTGTAATTTACAGATTATTAACCCTTCCCTGTTGCTCCTTAATACGTAACTGTTCAGATAACTTATTCATATTCAACTGCAATTGAGGTTTGTCGCTGGATAGGGTCTGTATCTTACTACTGTTATTAACATTTGAATCACTCATAAAAGGTTTACTTATGATTCTTAAAAATGTTTTTCTTGTGACAGTTTATCAAATTTGCTGTTTACAGTATTCAACTCGAGTTTAAATGCATTTATATCATCACGCAAGGCCTTCAGGGAGCCTTATATATGCTGATTATAAGTTTCAAGGGTGGTTTTTATTGTTTTCATTATTTTATTTTCGAAATCAAGTAATACCTCCGAGTAATTTCGCTTTTTTAGTGTAGTTTTTTTGTGAACCTGTGCACAATTTAGGAGATCTGTACATTCATGATTCTTCCTCAGTATATTATCCAAACACACGTTTATTATTAGCGACTTTGAAGGTATCTATAAAACAGCGACAGTTGCCGTCTCGAAAGTCGAGAATACTCAGCCGTTCACAGAAATACACGACCGCAAACATTATGTTATAAAGGAGATGAAACAATTAGTGTTCTCACTTAAGTGTTCATTAAGCACATCATGATTGACATTGCAATAACAACTTAAACTCCGTAGTTACAGAGTTCAAAATAAAATTTCGATGGCTAATTAAAAAAATGTTAAAGTCAAACACGCAACCAGCCAGACAGGAGCCCCGAGATACAAATACAGATACATACTTTTTGCCAGAGATACAAAAACAATGAAATATCTTTAGTATGAAAAAAGTACTGATTTTACCTCGTTATCTTAATCCAATTTTACTAACCTGGTCAACTGCATCACCCATCCCGGTGTACAGTATCCGCACTGTGTACCGTTGAACGCCACTATACGCTTCTGTACCTCACTATATCCATCCCTGCGATTCCCCAGGCCTTCAACCGTCGTAATATCCCAGCCGTGGCAGGAGAATACTAGCACGAGACACTGGAGAATAAATAAAGAGTAACGCAAGTGTCATTTTTGTCAGGTCTTTCTGATAACTCTATTCTCCGAACTCCGAATAGATTTGATTCGGAGTTCGAAATACACAGTTTGATGTGCTGCCTGTTTCAGACCATAGACCTACTCTATCCAAGGAATGTTTCTTGACAAGATCAAGTACTCACTGAGTTAACAGAGAATGTTTCAACTTTCCCGCTGGTAAAGCGCTTGGCTCGCACCATCACTATGCAGGAGCCACAGCCGCCTTCATGACACATCGCCTTTGTACCTGGCAATGCCAACGTGTACCGAATGTAGGCGTTGAGACTCGTGTGCGGAGGTAACGTTTCGTCCACTGAAATTAAAAAGTAACAAATGTTATTCTAAAATGGAAAAGATAACATTATTGTTACTGAACTGTTATAGTATAGAATGTTATTGTTTTATAGTATACTCTTTACATAGTATAAAATAAAGTCGCTTTTTTGTGTTGTACGCTTAGATCTTTTAAACTAAGCAACGGATTTTAATGCAGTTTTAACCAATAGAGAGAGTAATTCAAGAGAAAGGTTTATATGTATAATACATAGATGTTATAGTAGAGAAAATCCGAGAATTTCAAAGCTTTGTCGTAAAAAACATGGTTTACACGTAAAAAATGAATATTTAGAAGATATTAGAGGTTTAAAATGCGGGGGCAACCGGTATAGTGACCGTCGCGGCGTCGCCGAGTCGCCGCGTCGCGTCGTGCCCTACGTCCGACCCGTGTGGCAGGAACCGGCACATAAAAATTGCAAAATTATAAAGATGTCCTGTAGTATAGTCCTATCATAATATTAGTATAATTAATTTCTCCACACTGTCACTACATTAGTAGTATTAGTACTTAGTAGTATCTACATTGCACATTGATCGCTAATAATTTATATTTGTAAGTCAGTAAATTTTGTGTGGATCTTTAGATGAGTTACACTTATTTAGCACTGCAGAGGTGTACGTAAGAGGTAGATTGATTTTAATATTTGCACTGACCTTGACTGTCTGCGCATGATTCATTATGCAAAATGCTTTTTTATATTTAAAAATAAATTTAAATAATAATGCATTGGTGACTAGTTTAACTACTGTCATTAAAATTGAAAAAAAAAACTTAGATACTAAAACGTATTAAGATATGCTTACCTACACATACATTACTTACACATACACACACGGTACGGATGGTAACACAGGGGCAAGCTAACGCGTATTAAAACGTCCATGCTTTCATCATCATCATCCTTATAATTGACCATATTTTGAACCAGATTTTTATGACATAGGGAAAAAACTAGCAGTCGTGTCACCTGATGGTAAATGACCACCTCCGCCCATGTAGACCTGCAACTCAGAAGTCTCAAGAGCGCTTTGCCGTTTGAGGCTCCCCCCCCCCCCACCCCTCCGAGAATCAAGAGGAAGATGTCATTTGGGTTCCGTTAACCTTAATAACTCAGTGAAAGGTAACGAAATAATTGTTTAACACCATACCACACTTTGGCCAAGCCTGTCGAAGCAAGGCTGTCTCACGTATAGTTAGAAAATTGGGTGTTTAAATTGAAAGGAAAAGTTGAAAAGGTGAATAGGCAATTAATATTCGTTAGCAATTAAATGTTTACTAAAGTAGTGACGATAATTAATGGCACTATAGTAACAGTACACACAAATCAATCGGAGTCGTGTAAGTTAGTAAGAACCCTTCTTTAACTAAGAATTGAGCTGATGATCTCAACGAATTGTAGCTAAGAATCGCTAATCTCAATCACGTCAGTTTTCATACAAGAAAACCACATCAAAAATTGATATATTTGTTTTGGTACAGAGGCACGGCAAACTTTAATACCCTTCTTTTTGCGTCGGGGAATAAAAAATATTAATCGAAAAACAGGGGTGAGTTGTTTCTGTACGAAATCTGTAAAGAGAGGATACTCCACGAATGGTGGAGCTGTTATCGCATTTATTTATTTCGGTAAGTAAGTGTGTAAGGATGTTAAATGTCATCTGAGGTCCTTTGTTCTAATTCCTTATATCGTTTCAAACACTGGTTGCATCGGGTACTTGTGCTCTGTACGCATAACGTACCTATCTTTTTAACATAGACTTAAAATATCTTCAGAAATTACTAAAGTTAACTCATATACAGACAGACCACGCAACGGATTTTGATTTGACTTTCACTTAAGTTATTTTTATTGACGGTTTACCTAAACATATAAAATAACTTTCCCCGACTAACTGACCCATTCATCAACTACTCATCATCAACGACGACATCAACAAATACAAACTTGAAATGTTGGCAGATGATGCTTTTTATATTGTAAGCACCCACTAAGAAAGGATTTTAGCAATTTCATCCCTAAGGGGCTAAAATGAGAGATGAAGGGTTGTGTGGCAGTTCATAATTTTCAAGCGTAGATACACGAAAAAAAAAGAATAATAACGCTAGCGAAGCCGAGGGCAGTAGCTAGCATAGAATATAAACTTAAATAAGGTTTTGATCTAGTAAAAAACTCAAGATTTTGCAATAAAAAAACCATACCTTACGCAGACTAAGAGACACCTGAAACAATGTACCTACTCACGTGCGAAGTCAGTGTGTGGTCAATAGTAGAGTATACAAAACAAAACACTGTGGCGTACCTACTTACACCACATCCTACGAAGTTATTAGCCCCGCTCAACTTTCGCAACTTGGACCATACACCCGAGGCAGTAAACAAAAGGATGGCGTGTGACGTCGCACCGGCCTAGCGACCGGCAATGTACGGACCTACCTACGCACTCCGCGTTCGGCGCTCACGCTTACTACCGCTCATTATTTCGTATCAAGTTGTTATCTAAATATCTTTTAATTTTGTAAAGATTCTTTTTATAATATAATTGTTGGAACTACTAAACTATCGTTCATTTTCGACTTCCACCTCAGTGTAGTGATATTTTTTCTCAAACGTCCTACCTACCTTACTGGATAAGGATCCCGGTACGAACCTGGGAATTAATGTGGTGGCGATTCCCCCACATATTGGTGACCCCGAAAGCAGAAGAATTTTGAAGATTGTTGCGCCGGATTTTTTGAAGGTAGAAGATTTTTCAAGGTTTGTGGCGAAAATCGGGAATATCCAGGATTGCATCAGTGCATCAGTCTTAACAAGGGAACCTGTTTCTAAGGTACTTTTTTGAAATACTTGGTGTAACTATTGAGAAATTACTTAGATACATACCACTTTCACTTTCATAGAAATTTTAGCGTGTGGTCCAAGTCACAAGCGGCAAGCGACTTAATATTTTTTTAATATTAAAGATGTCTAATGAGGATGGTCCTATTCCGAACGCAATAGTGGAGGAGCCTCAGGTATCGCGCGTGGGAGTGCGCGTCCCACCTTTTTGGCCTGCGGACCCTACTGTATGGTTCGCGCAACTGGAGAGTCAGTTTATCCTCTCTAGGGTGGTCACCGACGAAACCAAATTCCATTATGTAGTTTCACAGCTCGACACACAATACGCAATGGAAGTGAAGGACGTAATTAAAAATCCTCCAGCATCGGGCAAATACGAGAAAATAAAGACTGAACTTATTAAACGATTATGTGCGTCGCAGGAAAAGCGTTTGAAGCAGCTGCTGGAGCGAGAGGAGCTAGGAGACCGGAAGCCCTCGCAGTTCCTGCGCCACCTAGAGGGTCTAGCAGGTGCAGACGTGCCCAGCCAGTTCATGAAGACTATCTGGACCAGCAGGTTACCCCAGGAAATCCGAACTGTTTTAGCCTCTAGGAGAGACGAGCCACTGGAGTACCTGGCTGATTTGGCTGATTCTGTCTACGACATCGCTGCACCATCTCCTCAAGTCGCTAGTACATCATCCTCAGGTGCTGATCGGTTCGACGAGATGACTAAGCAGATAAGCGAACTCACTAGGCAAGTAGCTTCACTTACCTCTCACATGTCTAGGAAAGGGCATCCAGGACGCAGTCGTTCCAAGTCACAGCGAATCGATCGCTCACGCAGTCGCTCGAGACCACAGCAGCCACCTCCGAATCATCCTCACTGCTTCTATCACTTCACATACGGAGCTAAAGCGAAGAAATGTAAGCAACCTTGTACCTTCACGTCGGGAAACGCACAGGGCGGTCGGAAGTAGCGGCCAACGACTGCCCACCTTCAACATCATCAGGCCGTTTGTTTGTGACAGATCGTGCAACGAAAATGCAGTTCCTTGTGGACACTGGTTCCGACCTGTGTGTTTTCCCACGTTCAGCACATAAAACGCCCTGCTCACTTACCAAATACGACCTGGTAGCTGCAAACAATAGCGTCATCCATACTTACGGACCAGTTCAGCTTCACTTGGATTTGGGACTTCGGAGAGATTTTGCATGGACTTTTACAATCGCCGATGTATCTAGACCCATTATTGGTGTCGACTTGCTCAGTTTCTACAACTTACTCGTGGATTGCAGAAACCAACGTCTCATTGACGGTACTACAACCTTGTCAGTAGCAGCCCTTTCTTCTTCGGTTCCTGATGAGCTGTCTTCCATCAAGGCGGTCACTGGTGATTCGGATTTTCATCACATTCTTCGTGATTACCCTGAAATCACCAGACCTGCAGGTATTCAGTCTCCTCCCAAACATAGTACAATGCACTACATTAAGACTACCCCTGGACCTCCAGTCTCGTGTAAGCCTCGTCGTCTTGATCCTGTTCGCCTCCAAGCTGCGAAAAAGGAGTTCGAGGATATGCTCGCCAGTGGTATAGCTAGACGCTCTGAAAGTCCTTGGTCCTCTGCACTGCATTTGGTGAAGAAGAAGGATGATGCCTGGAGACCTTGCGGGGATTACCGTGCCCTAAATGCTAGAACCGTTCCAGACCGGTATCCCGTCCGCCACATCCAGGACTTTTCACACCAACTGTCAGGTTGTTCCATCTTCTCTACTATAGACCTAGTCAAGGCCTATAATCAGATTGCCGTCAATCCAGAAGACATACCTAAAACTGCCATTACTACTCCTTTTGGGCTTTTTGAGTTCCCGTACATGACCTTTGGTTTAAGAAACGCGGCTCAAACTTTCCAAAGGTTCATCGATATGGTTCTGCTGGGACTCGACTTCGCTTATGGGTATATTGATGACATCCTCGTTTTCTCCAGTTCTGTGGAGCAGCATAAGGAACACCTGCACATCATCTTTCAGCGCCTCAAGGAGTATGGAGTGTTAGTAAACACTTCCAAAAGTCATCTGGGTCAGTCTGAAGTTGTCTTCCTCGGATACAGAGTATCAGCTGCTGGAACACAGCCTCTCGAGTCTAAGATCGAGGCCATCCAGAACTTCCCGGAACCTAAAACGGTCAAAGAGCTTCGTCGATTCTTGGGTATGATCAACTTTTATCATCGTTTTCTACCCCACGCAGCTCAACTTCAAGCACCTTTGAATGCCGTTCTATCTGGTCCGAAGGTTAAGGGTTCACATCCTGTGGAAATGACTCCAGAACATCGTAAAGCTTTCGAGGACTGCAAAGCTTCTCTCTCTCATGCAGCTCTCCTTGCTCATCCAGATCCTTCTGCAGAGTTAGCGATCGTCACGGATGCTTCTTTGACTTCCATCGGAGCTGTACTTCAACAGAAGAAAGGTGAGGACTGGCAACCTCTTGCGTTCTATTCACACAAACTTTCCAGCTCACAGATGAAATACAGCCCATACGACCGCGAACTCCTGGCTGTCTATGAGGCTATCAAGTATTTTCGGCACATGGTGGAAGCGAGAACCTTTACTGTCTTCACGGATCACAAGCCGCTTACCTACTCCTTCTCAATGAGCAAAGAAAACTGTACTCCAAGACAGTTCCGCTATCTGGACTTTGTAGCCCAATTTACTACCGATATACGCTACCTGCCAGGACGAGACAACGTGGTTGCGGATGCACTTTCTCGGGTTGAGGAAGTATCACTTACCTTAGACTATCAGGCTCTTGCACGTGCTCAGGACGAAGATCCAGAACTGCAAGACCTGCTACTACGTGGTTCTGCCCTAAGACTACAAAAGGTACTTACCTTGAACAGCACTCTTCCAGTCTACTGTGACATGTCTGTTCAGCCACCTCGACCATATATTTCGCCGAGTTTCAGGAAAACAGTCTTCGCGATGCTGCACAACTTACATCATCCCGGTTGTTCTGCTACAGTGCGACTGGTCACGCAAAAGTTTGTGTGGCCAGGAATCCGCAAAGATTGTAGAGAGTGGGCTAGGCAATGCTTGCAATGTCAATCAAGTAAAGTTACTCGCCATACTACCTCTCCTCTATCCACATTCCTGACTCCTTCTTCTCGTTTCTCACACATTCATCTTGACCTTATTGGTCCCTTGCCATCTTCCTCTGACTACATGTACTGCCTCACCGTCATCGACAGGTTTACACGTTGGCCTGAGGCGTACCCGCTTAAATCAATCACCGCTGAGTCTTGCGCTGCAGCCCTCGTCTCTGGGTGGATCGCCAGATTTGGTTGTCCAGCCCGGATCACTACCGACCGTGGTCGGCAGTTCGAGAGCCATCTCTTCAAAGCTCTCTCCTCCCTTCTTGGTGCCAGACACTTTCGCACTACTGCTTACCATCCCGCCGCCAATGGCATTGTCGAACGCCTACACCGACAACTAAAAGCTGCAATAATGTGCCATTCTTCCTCTCAGTGGTTAGAAACTCTTCCGCTTGTTCTTCTTGGCATGCGTAGCTCTTGGAAAGAAGACCTTCAAGCATCTCCTGCTGAGTTGGTTTATGGTGAATCTCTCCGCTTACCTGGCCAGTTTCTTTCCCCTTCAGACTCTTTCACCGCCGCTGACGTCACTGAGTATGCTACTCGACTCAAATCTTACATGGCTAAGCTTACGCCACGTCCAACTTCTTGGCATACTTCTTCTCCATTCTATCTGCCCAAAGATCTCTCTTCTTCTTCCCACGTCTTCCTTCGACAGGATCGCGTGCGAGCTTCTTTGGAGCCACCTTATTCAGGACCTTTCAAGGTTATCAACAGACATGCCAAGTTCTTCACTATAGACGTCAACGGCAAAACTACTAACGTCTCTATTGACAGGTTGAAGCCAGCGTACATGACGAAGGAAGAACGCTCATCTACTTCCCCGTCGCTTTCTGCTGTACCGCTTGCTTCTACACCCGCTGCTACTACAGTGCCTGCATCCCAGCCTACTCCTGGTGATGAAGTGGAAGAACGAAGAACGAGGAGCGGTCGTCGCGTCAAGTTCCCCGAGTTCTATCGACCGTAGTCACGGTCTGGCCGGGGGGAATATGTGGCGTACCTACTTACACCACATCCTACGAAGTTATTAGCCCCGCTCAACTTTCGCAACTTGGACCATACACCCGAGGCAGTAAACAAAAGGATGGCGTGTGACGTCGCACCGGCCTAGCGACCGGCAATGTACGGACCTACCTACGCACTCCGCGTTCGGCGCTCACGCTTACTACCGCTCATTATTTCGTATCAAGTTGTTATCTAAATATCTTTTAATTTTGTAAAGATTCTTTTTATAATATAATTGTTGGAACTACTAAACTATCGTTCATTTTCGACTTCCACCTCAGTGTAGTGATATTTTTTCTCAAACGTCCTACCTACCTTACTGGATAAGGATCCCGGTACGAACCTGGGAATTAATGTGGTGGCGATTCCCCCACAACACACTGAGTCTTATTATGTGAATTATTCTATTACTAATGTAACCCCATTATAAATTTTGTTAAGCTTAAGTGACAGGAATTTGATTTTTAAATTCTTACAAGGTTTTTTAAAATACTTAAATCTCGAAGGCATACCCCCGCATTAAATCATTCCACCTATTTTAGATTTATAGCTATTTATTGCACTTGATTCTGTGGGCTGTCATAAGCCGTCGTTATCGTAAATATAACAAAATCAACTCCATATTCCACATTGACAACGCCAGTGGTTTTTATGGTTTTAATTCAGCTTCCAAGATTTGAATCAAACTAACAGTCACTGCAAGAGAACTAAATATTTTTAAAATCCGTTTTTTATATAATTGTCTTACTCATTCAATAAGGTTTTAACAAGTCTATTTGCAGTTAGGTTATCAGTTTTTTGGGTAAGATCCAGCAAACCCTTTATTTTATTCGTCACTCTCCATGTTGAGAAACTTAATACTTATCGATATACACACACGAATAAATACAGTAATCATTAATTAGTATAAATATTTTACCTAACAACCTATTATTAAAGCTATAATGAAACCTATAACTATATAGGCCTACCTATCCCGGGGGAAGCCGAGAATCCGTTTGCACAACCATCGACCCGATCACAAACTACGTTGTAGCCCATTTGCGTCTCGATGCGATCAGAGCCGCTACCCTATCTATTTTTTTTTTAACGCAACCCCTAATCTGGCGACCAAGACAAATGTCCCCACTCCCTGCCGAAAGAGATACCTACCACTACAAAATTATAAATGATTTCAGTGCGTCGTCTTCGTTTCGTTTTGTTTAATTCCATTGTCCTGTATAACTTAAACTGCCATTGTCATCATCGTCATTGGCATAAATAGTTCAAACATTTTAGCTTGCTGCAATTCGTCTACATATAACGATTAAGTGTTCCAAGTGTTTCCATGTGCCATTTTTAGTTTACAAGGAGCACAAAGAACTTAATAATATATTACTAAACTTATTTAATTATCAAAATAAGGCAAACAAAAAGATTTTAACACAAGAGTAACTTTCAATAGATACATGTAATATATTATAATTGTTGAAAAACTGATAATTAACTTTTAAAAAAAGTATTATATACATCATAATTAACTAATTAACTGTATTTTTCATTCCTTAATATTTCACCTTCATTTAAAGGTCGTCTTTTTCTTCAAATTGCTACCCTTCCAAGCAAACAAAAAAGACTTTTTCCAATACGGTTTATTAATGACGCAATTATGAGGTTACAAATATAAAAGAAAGCAACTGAAATAAAAAATTTCTAAACGTCTTCAAAAAAGGAAGAAGCTACTTCCTTATTTGTTTTTTTTAAAGTAAAATATTATGCACACAAATTCCTACCTCGACATCTTCGCCCGTTAACGGTGAACTCAATTTTAGACGTCATGTCTTCCACACCACTTCATACGTAAAACACATCAGCGCTCGAATTCCGTCCGTTTTATTAGGTAGTTACTTAATTAGGCTATAATATTTATGTATATAAATACATATAATACTAACACTCTGTCACATTGACGCGAAGTGTGCACCTAGCCACTACAGTGATATACTTAAAGTTTCACAGACACCGATGTACTCACGGCAAAGGAAAGATCTCTTCAGTAGTATGAAGTAAATGTAGTTTTAATAAACTATAACTAGAGAAAGGGAAATTAATAACGCAGATTTTTTTGTGAAACAATATAATTTGCAAATATACATATGAGTGAAGAGACGAGTTACAATAAGCGTCCTCATCTGCGCGATCTCACTACTTTTGCTTATATTCTACTTAAAACTTCTCCTACATACCTTGCCTGCAATTCTCAGTACCTTATCATAACATAACGCTCCACTCTTTAAACAATCTTCTCCTATAATGTCCCGGTCATTATTCAGCTTGTGTCAATTGTTCTTTCCCTATTCAATCTGTCGGAACGCCCTACCTCAAGAAGTCAGGATGACTCCTGGTAGGCTATCTTTGAAAGCTAAAGTCCGTACCTTCCTCTCCTCCTCTGAGTCATAATAAAAATTATATGTATTTACAAACATATTCTTGTATGTATCATATCATATGTGTAGGTATATACATGTATTCTTAATACCACTAGACTGACAGATAATGTTTTTAGCATTAAGAACGTCATTGTGCATAAAGTGATAAATAAAGTAAAACTGTATAGTAATATACATACATACACGCCTATGTCCCCAGAGGAGTAGACAACGTATTAAACACCCACATCTTGCTGACTATAAGTTTAGTCCCACTTAAGTAATTACTTAAATTTGGGAGAATATTGAAAGGAAAGGGAGATATGAAGGGCAGACACTGGTAGTAGAAACGGGATATTGCTTATGAGAAACAATTGAACCATACAAGCAATAGGTCAATCTGGTCAGGGTCGCGTGTAACTCGGGCTAGTGCTGGAAGATCAATCCCTCTCATCAATCATCATCAACACCTTTAGTAGTCCACTGCTGGACATAGACCTCTCTTCAAAAAGGAGGTTTTGGCCTACTATACCACTATGGACAGACGGGTTGGTATAGGCTTAGTTTCAAGTTTTCCTCCTCTGTGCAGTGCTGTTGTCCTGCATAGTTTGCTTAGTCGACTCTTACGACACCCACGGGATGAATTGGGATAGTGACAGTCTATATTCTTAATCTGTCACCACACCAATCCCTCTAATCTAATATATAGTAATAGAATTAACAAATAAGATCGGCCTCTTATGCCATATGAAAGCACACAAGCGACGACGTTTAGTTGCGGAATGCAGTCGCCGTGACCGGAACCGGTCGGATCATCGTCATCAATAGAATTAATAGTCTTTACCTGTTTTATTTAGGTTTACATTGTTTTATACAGAATTTGAATAAGAAATAATGAATTCACAGACAGTCAGTATCAGTCGATCGTTGTAATTAACTGTTTAGCAATTTACAATTTACAATTTACACATTTACAATTTTAAGACACATTTACAAGTAATAATGATAAAACAAATAGTTCAGTCACGCATTAAACATACAAAGTTTAAGCTGCAATTACATTGTAACTAATAAACAATTACAATAAAAATAAACGTATACCTAAATGACGAAGACTAAAGATGTTATCATAATGTTTCTGTAATTTACTTTCCATAAAAGTCACGTGCTTTCTTTAAAACAGTCTAGAGTCTAGGACATAGTAGTAAAGATTATTTGAAGTGCGAAACTGAAGCTATGAGATAAGTGAGATTCCATTAATCTTTGCATAGGGAAAATTCAATATATTTTTAGTGTCTATATATAGTTTTTAAACTCCTTTCTAAGGAGAGGCTTATGTCCAGCAGTGGACTGTTAAAGGCTGTTGATGTGATATAGTTTTTAAAGAAAGCTCCCGCACTAGGAATATATTGTGTCGGAATGTTGGCACTAGGAATGTTTGTAAAGTCCCCCGACTTTACAAACATACACTAAACGGACACAAAGAACACCCTGACTCAGAACACCAGTTTGTGGATCACACAGTGTTGTCCCATGCGGGGATCGAACCCACAACACTCGAACCCACAGCGGCGAGGTGACCGCTTAAACCACTACGCTAACGTTGCTACTATCCATGCAGTAACGTTACATATAATAACAATAATATTATTATTTTTGACCTAAATATTGTACAATTAAAAAAGGATTCTCTAAAACCTGCGCTAGTATAGACTGTCATCATCATCATCATCAACAGCCTATACTAGTCCACTGCTGGACATAGGCCTCTCCTTAGAAAGGAGGTTTTGGCCTACTATACCACGCTGGCCAGACGGGTTGGTATAGGGTTTGTTTCAAACCCTATACCAACCCGTTTGTTTGTTTTGTTTTTATAGACTGTGTGTGTTATTTATTATGATTAGACATAGTCTGTAATGACATGGGCCTAACTAGGAAGTGTAAATAATATTCCTTATAATATTGAAAATCACTATTTCAAATATTTCTTATTAATTTAAAGCTGGACTTTCAAAGCAAATAATAAAGGGCAATAAAATTAATGACACCAAAGAGATTAATTAGCAATGAAACGGGATGAGGCACATATTGTTTCCGCGCGATCTACGTGAGCAGATTTGACTTTTTTTGCAGATTCTTCCGCTGTTTTTCAACAAGTGCAAGAGGATATCAATTCAAAAGGATTGATATCCTCATCACCAAGTGACCCATCTGATACGTCCCTATTCTGCACAATATTATGATCAAGTGTGTAGGTAATGTTAAAAAAAAACTTAATTAGGATTTGCACAGTTTCTCATGCATATAAAACAGAAAATTCATTACGAGTCTAAACTTTGTCTATATTCTGAGTAGTTATATTATTTATTTGGTTTCTTAACAATATAACATTAGCAAATAAACCACGTGCCCAATTATTTATCTTGATACCATGAACATTTCTGCTGTGGTTGCAAAACTGATAAGAATCAAACGAAAATCAAACAACTATAATGATCCTACGTATGAGTCATGTTTGATGGTAATGATACCCATACAATACAAACTACAATGGAAACCACACATTGAAAACTTACGTTCCAAGCTAACCTGTCTAACAGGTTGTCTCCGAAATATTGCAAGATATCTTCCCATTAACGTTCGCTACACAATCTACAACTCAATGGTGAAACCTCATATTGATTACTTAATAGAGGTGTGGGGATCAGTTGATAAAACACATCGTAATATGCTGCAGAGAGCTCAAAATAAATTGTTTAAAGTTCTTTTATCTTATACAGTATCATACAGTATCATCAGGGATCTACAAATTACTTCCCAAAAATATAAGAGACGCAGTCGTTGGTATTATTTAAAAAACTTTAAAAGAACACATTTTCCCTGAAATTCATTCTAAAACTTATAACGACAACTTAATTTTAAGAAGTACCTACCTTGCATAAAAATCTGTTTCGAATTATCTACCTGTCAACGTTTACTTTTATCTTTTATGATTTGTATTTTATTTCTCCTTGTCAGTGATTTGTGTAATCTTGAGAAATGAAATGATAGGTATTTAAAAAAAATATTGTTTGTATTTCTATACCTATTTGTGGCATCATAGCTCCTAAACGGATGCACCGATTTTGATTATTTGTTTTGTTTGAAATGTGATTTCTTTGAGAATGTGAATTTCTTTTATTTAGTACAATTTGTCTAGCCATTTGAAATCTTTAATTTTGAGTCGGGAACATTTAATCTAATATATAAATATCTCGTGTTACGGTGTTTGTGGTCGCACTTCTTCGAAACAGCTTGAACGATTTTAATGTTAAGTTTTTCGTCGGTCATAAAGTATTTTTAACCCTCCTACTACCACCCCTTTATGATTTCTTGATAATTTATATGGCAGAACAACGTTTTCCGGGTCAGCTGATATACGTTTCTAATGCCATTTTAGTATGTACGCCAAAGACTATCAGACAGCAGTTAAAGATACTAGACCTTTTAACAAGTATTATTTTCGTCATCAATTGCGTTTCAGTGGTAAAAATGTCAATTTTGTCTAGGCTAAACTTTCTTTCAAACATCTAAAATAAAAAAAACAATGTTTAATTCTCCAAGACTGAACAGTTCCACAAATATCTCTTCTAATCACAGTTGTAGATTGTAGACCAACTCCTTATTAAATTATTAGTAGTTCTAGACAATTAAACCCATTACGACCACTGTGCGCTTTTAACGACACGATTTTGTGGAACAACTTACGAGTTACGGTATTTCCGTCCCAATACGACCTTCAAGAAAAGAACGAACCTACTCTAAACTTTCATAAAGAAAAAACGTCAATGTTTTATTATTACAATATTTTGTTCAACGATGAGTTATTGTCATGCAAGCAAATTCAATTTGAATCCCGATCTAAGAATTTTATGGTAAAAAATATTGTATAACAAAACTACAAAAGTCAATGAACCAGACATTTCATGAAATGAAATTTTTTGCTAATTACAAATAAATACAAACGGGTTTGTATTTCTATCTACTACCATACAATTTAGTGTAATAAATTTTAAAATGTCTACTTGTATTAGTTCTCAAACTCCCCACAAACTCGTTCTCAAATTGACTGTTTAATTACTGTAGAATTGATTGTATATCATGTTTTGTTTTTTTTACATCAAGTTAATTAACAAGTACAAATATCTTGTCGCTTAAAGCAATTACTGACAGGCTACCTTTGGATAGACAAAACGACTGTAAATAAAAGAATTTATGGGTAGTTTTGTATTCAAAACTGTTAAAGAACCATAAATTATTTATACAGCAAACAGTATTTGATAAGTAAATACTTAATAAGAGTAGTAGTCTGTCTAGTAGTGGCTTTCTTCAGGATGAAAATTCTATGGCTTTATTTATTTTAATAGCAGG